CATGCACCATATTTAAAAAAAATAGCAATGATAGTGCATATGAAATGTGCTATGTTTATTTATTCTAACAGCTGTAAGTTCAATTATTTATAAGAACACCTTACGCAAGCTTGTGTTCTATGCTGCCATTTGTTTCATTTAGTGAGCTTTCACTGCTCCCTCTCTGCAGCCTTAACACTCGCTGAAGAGCATAGGGAGGCTGCTATCTTGTACAGAATTGGTATGATTCTTCTCTGTGCACTGCTTGCTTATTCATAGTCTTTTCATGACATTTATTCTTAGGAGCATAATGTCTTCTGAAGAAATGACAGGATGTTCTTTAACCCGTAAAATAAAAATGACAGGCAACATATTTCTCTCTGTATTTCAGGATAAGAGAATTTGGATACTTGGAGAGAGAGCTGATTGCCTGGGTTAACCTGGAGCTGCCTCCTTGTATTCTAGTTATTTTTTCTTGCCACATTTTATGTGATACAAAATGAGAAGTGCAGAGGAGATGTGCTTTCCAGCAAGTTCCTTTAAGCAGAGGAACCTCCTGGTAGGAGGCACTGGCTGCAATGCAGCCCTTTGCCTGCTTTCCAGATTTGGGACTCCACGTTGCTGGCATGGCTGGTTGAGCAGAGCATCTGGGTCAGGGACACTGGTGGCAATGTGAGAAAGGGTCTGAGCCAGGGGCTAAACAAATGAGTACTGTCAGTGATGTGTGAGACCTGACCAGGTGAAAAGTTAAGTTTTGTGATTGCTTATCATCCCTTAAGTCTGAAAGCTTACCATTTTTCTAAAAGCCTCAACTCCTAGATTGTACTAATATAAATAAGAATTTGATTTTGCATTTAAGTGCAGCCACAAAGCACTTAAAGCTCTTGTATATGGAGAGAAAACTTTCAAAATGTATAAAACTTGGAACTGAGAAGATAAAGCAGGAGTCCAAATCTCAGGAATATAAGGGACCTGCCCAATAAATTTTGAATGCTCATCTCAGGTTTAGCAATTGTTTTAAAATCCTATGCAAGTCATCAGAGCTGTCAATAATAACAAGAGAAGAAACAAAAGGAAATTACTTTTACCCACACGCACATTATACGACCAAAAATAACCACCGCCTGTGACTCTTAGCTGAGATACCAGTGACTTAAGAGCGTGTGTCCTTACTTGGAACTATTAATGAGCTGTTTGTTACCTCCTGCCATTGTAGGGGGAGTATTCGAATGTTTAGAGCATGTGAGATAATCCAGAGACGTGCTGTGCAGAAGTAGTTGCCACTTATCTGCGTTCCACCTAAATAGGCTTCTAAATGCACTGCCCTTTTCCACACCAAGTAGGGAAGGAGCTGCAGCCTTGGAAGAAATGTGCTGGGGGTGAAAGGGAGGAAGGAAGCGTTAAACGTCCATCTAGAGGTATGACCGAACTGGCAAGAAGTTGGTGGATGTTACATAGGGACATTGGCATGCTCAGGGTTACAGCTGCTGGCTTATGCCTTGAGGAATTCATTACCTTTCACTGTGTTTTGAATGTCTGCAGCTTTGAAGCCTTTGTTGCTAGTCTGTCACATTTCAGGAAAGGCATGAATTCCAGTCTGGCAAGGAGACACTGGTTAGCTGGTTAGAGCAGGGAGCCGGACGGAGACATGGGGGGGTTTTGGAGTTCTGTTGTTTTTTTTTTTTAATTTGTTTTGTTTTGCCTGTTCTGGCACTACCAGTTTCTCTGTTTTTAATATTGACATGAGAGATCTCATTTTTGGTTCCCTTTGAAAGGCTCACTTCTGAAGTGCTGCTGTGCGTGCTTGCATGTGTGTCTATAGGAACGGCTTGGCCGTGACTACAGGAAGTTCTCGAGAGGAACTGGGAGCAGCAAATGTTTCCAGATCCATCTGCTCCTCACAGCCCACAAACAGCCTGTCTGGCCAACCTGGCAGAGACTGCTCTCTAAGGATGTACCATCCAAACACTGACATCACACTGACTTACAGCATGTACCTTCCCAAGTGTTACAGAGGGCAACACTTTGCTGTATGGGGGCCATGGAGGCAGATGTGCTATCTGGCTGGACCGTGTATCTGGTCCCAAGAGCAGCGTTAGGGCTAAGACAGGCCTAAGAGGACTTCAGTATGTGGTTTGGGTTAAGCATATCGGGGACAGGTATAATAACTCTGTAGCCCTGATGCAAAAAGGCACTGACGCATGTTCTCGACTCCAAATGTGCACCATAATTTCCTCAAACTAAACAGCAGTTATTTCTACCTGCATGCAGCAAATCTGTACGCAGATCCTCAACTGATCAAAATCAACTTTCAAATGGAGTTTCTGGAGTTGCACCAACCCAGGCACTCAGGATTGGTTACGCTCACCCCAAGCACGCTGAATCCATTCTGTGTATGGGAACCTGCATTAAGTATGTGTCCGTTTGAGTGCTTGAATAATGCTGATTAGTTTCACAGTAAGTGAACACTGAATGCTTGTTACTTTAATTGAATTCTGTAATTGCTAGTAAGTGTGGGAATATGTGGAGAAGTCATTTTTCTAGGTCTAGTTCTAATGAGTTTGTACACCTCCTCCATTTAATTTTAGCAAACTTACCTCTTTAATTGTCACTTTATTTTTAACCTCAAATCACTTCTTGTGAAAAGTAATTTGTTCTTTTAAGGCCAAATTATTCTTTTTTTGATATGAATTCTTTCTTTCATGCTTTTCTTAATGCAATGAAGGCCAGGGCTTGACACTGTAAGCAATGTCAAGACTCTTGACTCAAAAAGACATCACTGAAATTGGAGTTTTGTGGCAGTTGTGGTGTCAGCACGGGGTCACAAGTTTAATTGCTCAGATACTGCCATTGTGGAAGGGGACCTGTGTTGCTCTGGGATTGCAGCAGCAGTGGACCCTGCCTTTGCCCAGGCACATGAGCTAGTATTTCCTCTTCTGAAAAGGTAGTACACAAGATTTCTTCCCCCCCCCCCCCCGCCTTTTTTATCTTGTATAGCAGAGAAGATGGCATTTTGGGGATGCTTGGAGTGGAAGAAACTTTCTTGCATGAAGCCCATGGAGAAGGCCAGTGCTGAGTCAAAACTTCTGGGTACCAGAAGCTTCTCAGCTTCAGAATGGCTTTAATGCTAACGCTGAGTTGAGACTTACTGCAACACTGCCCCTTCTTGTAGTTTTCTCCCTGTCTTATGGAGGGACTTGGGTTTATCCAGTGAGTTTAACTCGTAACAGTTTTCCATACGTAGAAGAGCGTGATATTGCTACAAACCTCCTTAGCCTGGATAGCCTATCATTTCAGCCTGTTTCTTTCTGCTTTGCTTGAGCTAAGGCATCTTTCTGTAACTGAAACTTACGGAGATCAGAAAGACCATTATTATTAAGTACATTTGTCTAAATTTTCAGGCTGTGTCAACTGTTACTAATTCAGGGTGCTTACTGCTAATATGAAATGGTAGAAACAAAAAGCAGATACTGTACGGGCAGGCAAAGTCAGGCAGCAGACCTTTAAGTTGGGCTCAGGTTTTGTTGTTGACTGGCTTTAGACTGCGTGCTCCACTTCACACTGTGTTTTACTGGGATTAGCTTGGAGTTAGGCTGCATCCTGCTGAGCCTTCACCAACCCACAATGTATATCTTATGTGGATATTTTAATGAAGAAAATATTTAAATAATTAAGTGTTGGCAGCTGTTGCTAGAGTGGCATGCTGGAGAGGCCAGATATTGGCTGGTTTTACAGACTGATCTGTAAAACCATACTATATTTGTTTGTTGAATTTTTTTTTTGCTTCCTTTTAAGTATCTGTTGAACGTGCTCATTATATTCTGGCTGGTATGAAACAAATGCTAGTTAAGAATGGGGACGCTTGAGGCAAGAGAGCAAATTCAATTCCCTGAAGGCAATTTCCACCTCTTACAATGCCCCACTGCTGCCTCCAGTTCTTGTAACAGGAAAACAAGTATCTCCAACTCTCTTGTTTAGTTTTTTGTTTCTCTGAGCAATTTTTCCCTATTCTTCAGAGATTAGGGTCTTTGTTTATGCATGATTTTGCAGCTTCAGATACCTATTTCTAGTCGTGTCATGGAAGCCATTAATTGGCTGGAGTTACACTTGATCTCAGTCTCTTTAGCGCTAACTTTTTGGGGGGGGCGGGGGGGGAGGATTGGAACACAAAATTGAAGGGTTTGTAATTCAACCTAGGGCCTTTAGAGAGTTGAGAGATCTTGTACTTGTTTTGTAGAAATACTGCTCTTTGACTATTCAAACCAACATCTGTGGTGTGACATTGAAACCTGCTCGTTTGCTGCAGGTATCAAGTCCCCACAGGAGTGGGCACTGGGTATGAATAGACCCCACAGTTGTCCTCTGTAGACTGTCATGACCATGAAAATTGACTCTTTTCTCCTCTGGTCCCTGTCTGGTAGTTTTTCTCTTGGGCTGGTAATTTCACTGCCTTTGGTCCCAGGAGGATTAAAGCTTCTAATTTTAAAGTTTCACTTACTGGAGTCTGATCCTGAAAATACTAGCGGCACTGCAGGACTGGAAATGATTGGTGCAGAAGTTAATATGCATTTTGACAAATATATCTCTTCTGTATTGTAACATCTTTCAAAGGAGAGACTGACTTTGATCTGAGCAACAAATCGCCTTGAAATCTGGCAGTGGTCTAAGTTGAGGGTTTTAGCTTCAAGCTTTTAGTCTCACTGAGATTTTTTTTATTTTTTCTTAAAGGTGATGCATATTTTATATATTAGAAGTAGCCAGATTTGCACTTTGCCATATATAGACTCTTAGGCTTTATTCACTATCTTACGATTTAATGTTGAGGATTAGTCTTAAAGTCTGAAAGTAGTACCTATATTGGGTGGAAATACTCTTTAATTTCTGATAATTATCAGCAAAAAGTGTAACTGGTGGTTGACATAAATCCATTTGGGTTTGGAAACTAAATTTTTTGAAGAAAGTGTGACTATTACCTTGACTTTTGTGATGAATGTTCAGCGTTCAGTGCTGTCTGGGCAGACATGAAACATAATGTAACCATTCTGCCTTTCACTTTAAACAGAGATAAACAAAATCCAGAAGTGAAAAAGGCAAGTCCCTCCGCCACAATGAGCTCTGGTAAGTCTGTGTTGTTTTCCACTTGCCCTCATTGGCATTGCTTTTTATTACTAAAAATATTCCTGTCTGTTGCAATTATTCTTTCTTTTTTTTTAACTCTTCTTCTGCCTCCCAGAAAAGAGTCAAAGCCCTTGAAAGCTCAGGGAATCTGACTATTAAGGCAACAGAGGAATGGCTTTGTAGTAAAAAGTGTCCTGGCTTCATGTTTGTTGTTTCAATTTGACCCATAATGCTCAAAAAATGACTAAAAACATCTTGAGCTGAAGTAGGTCACTTTAGCTTCTTTCACTTTGGAATACAAGAATTCAAAATTACTGATTACCTGAGAAAATTATCTGAAAGAATTTGATATGTTTTAGTAGGGGTGAATACAAAGGTTGACATCTGGATAGGAAAAATCAGCTGTTCAAAGAAAAATGAGGGACCAGGAAATGGGGGCTGGTTGAGAAGAGGAAAACTTCTGGGCTTGTCTGGGTAAGAGACTAAATCAGAGTGAAAAACAAAGTAGACACCATACTGAAGTGCCATATGTAGGACCTGTGGAATAATATTCCCACTTGATTTTAGCACCTTATCAAGTCTCAGCTGGAGTATCGTGTCCAGTTTTTAGCACCATGTTTTGAGAAAAATGTGAACCATTTGGAGAGAGTCCAGAGGAAAGCTAGGAGACTAATCAGGGTCTGAAAAACATGAGCTGGGAATTTGGCTTAAGCATTGATAAGCTTCCAGGTTGTGAAGCACTGAAACAGGTTGCTTTAGGGTGATGCTGGAAGTTTGTAAGAACTCATTAGGCGAACATTTGTCAGCAGTGACAGAGGTAGATTGGGTCAGGAATATGGCTTTACATGACCCTTGGAAGTCCTTTCTAGCACTTATCTTCTGTGTTTCTCTGAATTCACAAGAGCCAGTTTTATTCATGTCAGCTGAAGATGTTGCAGACTTGAAAAATCTCTCTTGAAAATCTCATGATGGAGCTGGATGCCATATAGAATCATAGAATAGTTTGGGTCATCTAGTCCAACCCCCCTGCCATGGGAAGGGACATCTTCAACTAGATGAGGTTGCTCAGAGCCCCGTCCAACCTGACCCTGAATGTTTCCAGGGATGGGCCATCTACCACCTCTCTGGGCAACCTGTGCCAGTGTTTCACCACCCTTAAAAAAAATTTCTTCTAGTCTAAATCTACCCTCTTTTAGATTAACACCATTCCCCCTTGTCCTGTCGCAACAAGCCCTGCTAAAAGTTTGTCCCCATCTTTCTTATAAATCCCCTTTAAGTACTGACAGGCTGCAATAAGGTCTCCGCGGAGCCTTTTCTTCTCCAGGCTGAATAACCCCAACTCTCTCAGCCTTTCTTCATAGGAAGCAATATGCACATACAGAGACAGTCCCTGTTTAAAAGAGGCTGCGATCCAGGTAGGCAAGGGGAAAGGAGAAACAGGGGTGTCATCCAAGGGGGGTTTGTGTCTACAAGCAATGCCTCCTGAGGTAGTAGGAATACTTCCTAGTTCCTGAATCAAATAGTGCTGACCCACGGCATTCCCTCATAGTCAGGGGTTAAATTCGGTTGCAGAGGTTATAAGCCAGAAGTAATCTGCTCCTTCATTTATCTTACAGAACATGAAGAAATTGATGTTGCAAAAACTGTTGTCAATGGGCTGAGCAGCAATGGACAAGAAAAAGGTGGGTTAAGAGCTTCAGAGACATCTCTGCAGCTCCCCCTGCATGTCAGCTGCGTGATGTGGTTGATTTCCCGGGACATTCACTACAGCAGGGGTTTCCAAATTTAGTTTGCTTGGCGACTGATACAAGAAAAGCCTTGTGCTGCACCATGCCAGCAGCAGCAGCATTTCTTAGCTGAACAAGTGTTCTTTGTCTCTTAAAGGTGGCAGGCTGGATTTGCTTCTCTGTATATTTTTAGTGCTGTTTTGAGGAAAGCTGTGCACTACTTGTGGTGCTTGTGAGCACCTGTGAATCAATATCTTAGTGTGTTTAGACAGCATGGGTTTGTGGGTGCCTATTGTGTAAATCCTGTTAACTTCAGTGGGAGGTGAAGGTTTGAGCCCAGGATTAAAGGGCAGGAACTAACCATTTAAGTAATAAAAAAAATCTGTCATTAGCAACAACAATTTAAAACCCAAACTTATCTAAACAAACCAGTCTTCATGTTAACATCAGCAGGTTTGCAGTGTGCTTTATAGCATTCAATATTTGTATAGTGATGGTGTGTGTTTTGGCAGAGTGAAAGTATGTGGTTGTATGGGTTGGTTTTCTACTGGTTTCATTTCCTTTCTTTTCCTTTGATGCCTTTTTATAGTGCTTAGTATTTTGACTGCATTGTGGATCGATGAATTCAGTCAGTTACAGAGCAGAACAGAATTAGGATTGTTTCCTAAACCACAGGCTGTTTGGATTGGGATCTATTGTATTCACAGGGTCTCCAGTGCTCAGGGAGAAGCATGGGGAACGAGGTTTGATTTGGGTTCCTCTTTTATAAAAAAAGAATTTAAAGCAATCCCATCAAATTAAAAGCTAACGATTTTATGAGGTTTGAAAAAATTCTATCAAGCTTTTCCCCCATCCTTTTGCTTGAGAGCCCTTTTCTAGGTTCGTGAAGTCTGTGCTTTCCAGTTTTGCCAAGGACCAGAAAGATCTGCCACAAGAGGGGGTGTACTCACCACCCTGATGTTAATGCTTCCCTCAAGCTGGCCCAGTGCTCAGTATTGGTGTGCAAAGTATTAGAAATGCGGTTCTTCTTACTCCTGATTTTGCAGGCCTGAGAGAGGTGGCATGGAATGTGAGGAGGCATCTAGCATTTTCCAGTTATTACGTGCAGAAAGCTAATAGCTTTTAAAGGAGAAAACCCTGGCTTTGCAGAAATCAAGAGCGCAACTCAAGTTATTCTGGTGAAGCAATGATTTACAAGATGTTTATCTTGGCAGATCCTGTTGAGCTTCACCTCTGAGTAGTTTTGCCTTTGTGTTTTTTTACCACCCCCCCACCCCCCCCCTTTTTTTTTTTAGACTTACACGTTAGCTGCAATACAGAGTCAGAGAGAAGAAAGTACCAGCTGTTTTGAACAGTTTTGTAACAATTGCCAGAATTTTGCACAGTGCTATGTATGGTTTTCCCCTATGTTACTACATGTAGTATAATTAGTGTGCTAGCTGATGGAGTCCAGTAGAAATCTCTTCAATTTACTGTTTAAATGGATGGATTTTTTCTGAAATGGATATTTTGATGCTACCCTTTGGCATGGGACTATTTTCAAGATTATTTCACATTTCATTTCCTTCTGTTGCTGAACTTGTAAAATATGTGCCATAAAATCCAGAATTCATGTAACGTGGCTAGTTTAATGTTCCTCTCTTGACCTTTCAATCCTTGTTTTCTCACTTTTTGTTTTAACTGAGCCATATTAATGTTAAATTAACATTTTTATTTTTGCATGTAGTGTATCTCAGCTAAATGATTACATTAAAATTTTTTGCTTGCTTCTAAAAACTAATGCTTCCAGATTCTTTTTGCCTGCAGCATAGTGGCAGTCAGCAGTTAGTCAATTCAGTAAGCAGTTCTGTATGCTGCATAAAACAGACAAGTCCTGAATTAGGGTGAATGAAGGGATATTTTTAACGGTTGCATCACTGCTTTCTGGACTGCTTTTATGTTTGAAATTTCCTTCTATTGTGTCTCCCAGTACATTAGAAAATTTTGTGGCATGCTTCCCAAACTCTGTTCTTCCCTTTTTGGATGTGCCATTTACACTTTTGTGTTTGCAGCTGTTGACGTCCCTTTATGTACACGCTCTATTTCTGCCGTTAAAATAATCCCTGTGAAGAAAGTGAAAAGTTCTCCTCACCTAGTGCTGCCTACAGGTATCTTCTTCCTTCCTCCCCCCACCATGCATTAGTTGGCCATCATTCCCTCTCTTCTCTCTCTCTCTCTCTCCCCCCTCTCTCCCTCTCTCTCTCTCCCCCTCCCCCCACCTCCACTTCACCCACGCACTTTGGCTAGTTTTCAGCTTCATCCTCTTCTCACTGTTTCCAGAGCTGTAGATTTCATCAGTAGGTAATAAAGTTAGCTCTTTATGGCACAATACACTGTTCTCAATTATGCTGCTCCTCTGCAGACATAATTGTGTACTTGAATCTGGGATCATTGTAAGCTCTTCTACTAATACTTGGTTATGAATAATATTGTTATTACAGCCTCATTTTGAACCAAACTCCTGATGAACCAAATAATGTTTCCTGCGTTTCTTTAGTCTTTATGAAAGTAAATGGATGTCGGAGATGGTATTTTACAGGTTCAAGCATCGTTCAACATTGGTGGGATGGTTTTGTTTTTCTGTACATATACTGACTTCACAGAATTTTCATATGGATAAATAAGGATGTTAGGCTGTCTGTCATCCCCTCCCCAAGCACATGTTTTGCCACTAGAAGTACAAGATTGTTTTTGTACTTTGCTGGATTTGGACAGTCAGACTGCTCTAGTTGATACTGCTTGTCTCTCCTAATCTGTCACACATGTGCTCTGTTGGACTATTACAGTGCTAATGTCATGTTTATTACCATCTGCTGGATTTTTATACTGAGAGTGTCAGATTTTTGTTTTCTGGCATTTCACCTAAATTGTGAGGGAACATCTTAGGTATTTGTCTTCCTCTCCCAAACTGAAATAGTCTGACAATATTTTATTTTCAAAACATTTTAATTTTGTTGAGTTCAGAACATTTTTTTTCTGATTCTTATTGTTTTGATTCAGTATACAGGTTTAATACGTTGTATGGAAATAACAAAAGTGTTTGATTCCCAAATTTGATTCTCCTCTAATATGATGGAAACGTTTATGGCATGGTGAACTTCTAAGTGTTTCCGTTTCTCTCCAGTGCCTGTGAAAGGAATCTAGGTGTAGGAGCATAGGAGAACAGCTAGCCTGCACTCTCTGTGGATGTCTAAATCAGGCCTGGTGACTCCAAACAGTGTGTCCATGCCTCAGAGTTACAGCACTCTTGAAACTGGAGTCCCGGAGCTTAAGCTTTTGTCCTCTGGATTGAAAGGAGGTCTGTAGAGTCCTCGGGCTGTGTGTTGTGCTGTGTGGATGGGAACGATAGCCAGAACTGGAATCCTGACTCTATCTGGATCATGCGAAAATCAGTCAGAAAAGTCGACTTCTATTTCACCAGGCATGTGGGTGACCTTAAGGCATGATCAGTTGTGTGGTGTGAATGCAAATGTGGTATGTTTAAGGATTAAGCAGCATTTGATATGTGTGTGTGGATAGTCTTTCCCCTCACAGAGGCTGCCTCAATGCTGCCTAAATGAACGAAAGGCTAAACTGTAGGAAGGTATCCTCTGATTCCTTACTTATTCCATCCTTTCTCCAGTCCTAAGTGTGGATCTGAAGCTATGCTTTTTGTGAAATCCCTAAAGCATTGAAAGCCCACGTAAAAGCTTGAACTGTGGTGATTCCAGTGTAGAGGGCTTTCGATGTGAGCCAGGTGTTTGACATTCGTTGAGTCTTTTCCCCTACTGCTGTTGTCCATCTGGCACTATGGATGTTTCCCTATATTGTGGCCACCTTGGCTGTGTTTTGTGTGTTTTGCAACCTTAGCTGAGGCATTGTCATGGTCTATAGGCGCTGTACTGGTGTGGATTTAATGGGGCATTATCTTACTAAATCAGCCAAGGAATATTGATCTGCACAAACATGGACTGTTGTCTGGGCAATAAGCAGCAGCCTTTGCCCCCTCTGTCCAGTCTGAAGGCATAACTTTCAGTATAATAACAGTTCCCAGAGAGGAGCTGCATCCCCCCAGTGCAGAGATAGCATGATCCTCACCCCATAAAAATAAAAATCATCATGTTGTCATTTGTGTAACACAGCACATGCTTAGGCTCCCTGTGCGGTGTCATTGTAGGACTAGCACCTCTGTTTAGGCAGGTCAAAGTAAAGTCTGATGGCAGCTGCAGGGTCAGTAATAGTGCACGAGAAAGGGAGGTGATGTGTTTTCCTGTGGAAGTAGCTTGGATAAGTGAGAGACTCTTTAGGCTTATTGTTTCTATAGGTATCTTAGAGGAAACAACTCTCTGGAAGGATTTTAAGTAAGGGGAAGAAGATAGCCTTGAAGTACTGGTTTGTTATTACTTAATGGGATGACAGGAGGGAAAAACACAAATGCATGGACTGAAATGCACAAAGGTAAGCCTACATAGAAGCTGTGCTGTATCGGGCCTCAGCAAGGACACTGGCGTTATCTGGTGTCTGGCTCACAGGGTGATCTGAAGAGGTATATGTTAAATCTCCTTCTAGTTTTTGGGATTTGGGTTCCTATGTCAGAGGGTAAAACACTGCTGCGAAACAGGGAGAGATGGTAAGGAGGTGGCTTGCAGTGCCCCACCTTCAGATCACATTCAGCGCAGTTATAAGATTTTATCCTCCAGTGGTCATAAGACTTTTTTTTCTTTCAGTCCTGCACAAAAGGCATTTTTAAGGCTTCAGCACACAAATCGTATTGCTTTATATCATTGGGACATCCCTATAGAAGAGCCACAGGTGTAATGGTAGAGTGTCCTTGCTAGTACAATATCTCCACACAAAGCAGACCAAATAAAGCAAATGGACGTGTGAAATTTGGTTCAAATACTCATCCTTTTTTCCTCCTTTCTTAGCTCTGTTACACTGACTCAGAACTTACTTCTACATTCATCAGTTACATGAATATGAAACTGCTTTGATTTCTCAATGCTTTAAATCCAGAGCTAATCTTCATCTGCATAAACATTACTAGATTGATTCACCCGGAGGCAGCCATGCTAAAATTACTCCATAGAGCTCTGATGGCTCCTGATAGCTTTGTATCATCGTTTGTTTCGATGTATCTCCTCTGTGCGTGTGCATTTCCTGTAGAAACGGATCCTACTAAAGTCTGCAGCGGAAAAGGAGCTGTGACCCTTCGGGCATCGCCAGCCTATGAAGAGAATCGGAATATCACTTCGCCATGTCCTCGAGATGTTGAGCAACCTGAAAGTAAGTGGAATGTTAACTGGAATATGTTAGTCACAATAACTTCAAGGGAGGTCAGTCCAGGGTCTTGGGATGATCTTTTTAGTGCTGATTTAAAGCCCAAAATCCTGTAGCGTAGTCAGAAACCTCTTGCAAGAACCAGACCAGTGGAGGGAGACTGACTCCTGTTCTCTCCTAGTGCAGGTTTCGTGACCACTCACTCATTGGCTTAAGTTTGTTTACAGCTCCCTTTTGCTGTCAGAAGCACCAAAAACTATCAAATCTTGTTTTTTTTTCTTTCTTGGCAGGCCCATGTCACCTCCTTTTATCCCAGGCGTGAGGTGGAACAGAAAGAGGACAAGTGGTGCTACTGCCAGTGTAGCATTCACTTGGGTTGTCAAGGGAGCAGGGATAGTGTCCCAGACAGACAGTGTTGCCACAGAGCTCTGCCATCTTTCAATAGCAGACGTGTAATTACTTAATTGTAGGAGACAGGCAAAGCATAACAAACCTGGCCAGTGTCGTGGGTCTGGCAGAGAGGATGAACTCCCAAAGGCAAGATGCCGTTAAGGGGGAGGGGGTCAAACTTGCTCTTGAAAGCAAAGCATACATCGTTTCTGACTGTATTGTTGGAGGAAGGACAATTCCATTAATTCCAGCCCCAATGTGCTGCTTTCTGCTCTGTCTTCTCCTCCCGTTCTGCTCCACCCGTGACCTACCCTCTTTTCATGCTTGCCATTCTCTGTTTCTTCACCCCTACCCCCCACCATTGCCTCTCTCCTTTCTGTTGATGGCTTCATAAATTTCCAGCAACCTGAATGGCAGTGAGCCCATTACTATGGAAATCAGCTCATTAATATTTCCTTTGCTTATTCTTTCAATCGCTTTATGAAATGTGCTTTGGAGCTGGAAGAGCTTTTTGCATATTACTTAAACAGCAAAACTGGTAGAGGGGTGGGGAGGAGCCCAGTGGGAGGTGGGTAAATAGGTGACGAGACCAATGCATCTAGCTGCAGGGACTGGATTGTAAAGTGACATGATATTTTATAAGTCCCTTCATGCACATGCACTTAGTCTGTAAAACCTGATCTTATTTGTTGGCAGTCCTTTATCTCAGTTAATCATACATAATGATTTTGATAAGGACAGATATGTCTTCGTAGCCTGTATCATGGCTGAATATGGGGTCCCTACATTTCCAGTAATTTATGGTGTCTGGATGTCAAGCTGCAGCTTTAGAAAGTAGCTAGCTGGGCTGCCTTTTTGCCTCTGAAATAAGAATGTCAATGAACAATTGTTTCTTCATTGCTCTGAATGAATTGCCTTGTGTTTACAAAGGTCAGAAACAAGGAGGGCATCATGTTTAGGGCTGGTCGCTATGGTAATTAGGCAGCCCTGTCAGAAAGCATTTTATATGTGAAATGAAGTATAGCTCAACTCTTAACTTCAATTGGTACATGTTTTCTGTAAATGTAATGGTTTATTTTTTTCCCCTTTCTTTTCCTTTATGCCTATCCTCCACCCCCACCTCTTCTGTCCCTCCTTTCTGTGAAACGCTTAGGTCTGGAGCCAGAAAACACAGAAACAGGTACAAACATTGGCTGCTTATGTTGTTGCTTCTGTTGCTTTCTTGGAAGTATTTCTTGTTGCCTGGAAAAAACAGAAAGAAAAAAAAAAAAGGAAGAAAAGAGCCTCCTCTCGTTCGTCCTGTAGCTGGAGGGAATCCTCTGTGATCTGAGTTTTCCTTCCCCTCATAGATGATTGGAGGTCGTCATCTAATACTGATGCCAATGGGGATGCCCAACCATCTTCTCTGGCTGCCAAGGGTTATAGGAGTGTGCGTCCGAACCTTTCCTCAGACAGCAAACCACAGGTAAGCCTTTCTTCTGTGACCCTGAGGGTGATCATCTGGGTTCAAGCACTGGATTCATGGTCAGGAGTCTTGGGTTGAACTCAAAACTTTGCTGCAGACTGGGTAAGTTGCTGTGCTTCAGCTTTTCCTACCTTTAAAATGGGGGCAACACTGATGTCGGCAGAGTGCTGTGGAGCTCGTGTGTTCAGGCATGCCACAGTGTTTCCTTGGTGGATGGCGGAGGAAGACAGCGCTATTTGCTTGCAAGAAAAAAGGTGGAGTAGTCATCTATTACTGTTTTTTGTCTTTTATGTTGGTCTATTTCCTAGAGGTTGCTGCAGGCTGAAAGCAGAGTTACACCCTACATTAAAAACAAGATATTGGGGAAATGCCTTTCAGTTTTAATACTGTAACTGATACAAGCCAACAAGGGAAAAGTTATTTGTACCTGAAGGTAAATTGTTAAAGTCAATGTGTTAAGGGAAGTGTAACTTCATCCTTTTTCTTTTGGGTGGTCGGTCTGCGCAGAAGCACTCTGAAAGCTGATAAGGAAACTCTTTGTTAGAAACCACTTTCTTGTGTGGAACGGAATCCCTTTAAAGCCTTGTCCCCTATCAGAGTGACTGCTCCCATCATCAGGGACCTATAGCAATGCCACAGAACAGACATTCCTGAAATTGTAAGTGAAAGTGGAAGAAGGCACAACTCTGTTGAAGGCATGGGAAGGAGTGGCATCCTAAAGGAGAGACCCATTTACTGCTTGATACTTACAGCTGTCCTGTAGACCCTTATTGACCTTGTTGATGAACAGAGAGAGTGCTGACACACATAGTACTTGTTATAGAAGTCTCAAGGTCTGTTGTCCAAACTAAGCTGAAATGGAAGAATATGGAAAACAGCAATTGCAGGTGGTGAATGAGTATTTCCTGATAATACTATGTAGTCATAAAGTGAGGCTTCACCTAACCTAGGGAAATGTTGTGGCACTCTGAAGTCTCCAGACTGAAACTACTGTCCTTAAGGAATCAAAAGGAATGAGCCTGTTCCAGAAGCAGAAGCCCTTCAGAAGGAGCACTTACCAACCCACTTCTCCACTCCTTCACATGTCAGGGAAGGAGGAGAAGGAGGGGCAGCGTGAGGACAGTAGATTTCAGGACAGCAGCTGTAATTTTATGACGCTATTCTAGGTCTATATCCATGTAACAAGAATAGGTGCTGGCCACAACCTGTCATAGGTGGATGAATTTTAAAGGAGGCATTTTTTCAGATTTGAATGTTGCAAGCTGTTAAGGCACCTTCATTCTCTGGTTTTGGCCATTTTAGCAGTGGTTTAGCCATCCTTTGCCCATAAAGATATGACAACAGGGTGTGTGTAAAACCTACTTTCATAGTCTCCAGAGGTTTAATTTGCAAGAATGCAGGGAGCTACTCTTCACTAGGTGGGTGTTTTAGTTCTCTTCCTTTCAGTATTTTGTAGTTTTCAGCTACTGGCGACAAAGCAATAAATAAAACAAAACCTTTCTATTGCTAAGTTATTTTGCCTCAAAACAGTTTGGCTTTCAGAAAAAAATCACTGTAATTGGAGTTGGAGTTGCAGTCAGCAGGCAGTTGTGGAGTTGGTAGCCTATATGTTGCAAAGTACCAAAAACAGTAAAGCTTTTTTTTATTATTTACTAGAAGCAGGATTTCTTTGTCGGTGGTTTTGATTCTGGAGGCAAATTCTTATGAACTCAGTTCCTCAAGAAACTTTAATTGTTCTGGTCTTCCTGAAATCATTTTCAGGACTGAAAAATCCTGAAAAGAATTCAAGAGCTAGCTTTTCAAAGGAAAAAATGCTGACTTTTTACTTAGCCAGCTGTGGCAGGGTACAGTATTCGCATGATGTCTGTTTCATTAGCACTAGTGAAACTTCGCCACGTTCATTTTTCGGCAGTGCACTTAACATGCAGCAGAGATGGCCTAGAGCTCTGAATTTGGCTTTGCAATTCAAATGTCCCCAGTGCTGGGAAGTATTTAGTTACACAGGCACGAGCCTGGGTTTAGTTAGCCAGGATGTTAAATCTTGATTCAGGCTTTCCCAGGGGCATGGTGGGTGTTGCTGTGCAGGCCTCTCAAAACAGTACAGCACTGAGATTTATGTAGCCCAGAGAGAGAAATGTGTAGGCAGGGACTTGAGAGCTGGGTAAAGTTTGCCCGCTGCAGTGAGCAATGCTAAGAAAGAGAGAATGTGTGAGATGATGTATATGAGTGAGTTCTGCACTGGCTGTCCAGATACTGTATTTACTTTTTGTTCTTGCTGTATTAAAATCTGCTTAACCCAAGTCTAATGACTGATTTCATTCTTTGAATTTATTTATTTTTTCCTTCGTTTTTCCTTTCATTTGGTGCTGCTTCCTCTCTTCCTTCTTGACTCTGTCTGGGCAGGCCCTTGCTCCTCCCCGTCCTCCTCTTCCCAAAGAGGAAAGCTTTGCATGGCGTCCTCGCACTGACACTAAAGCGACCAACCTGTTGCCAGTGCCCATCATGGACTGCGTGTACCTGAATGCACCCAAGCCTTATACGCAGCGTGCATCACCAAATGCCAGTGCACGGTGTTATTTCTCATCACCTACTCCCTATGGGGCTGTCCGCAGTGGGAAGCAAGGCTTGCCAGCAGGGCATTCTCCCTCTTCAGTCCCCAAAGATGAGGTGCATGCTAGGCAGCCACTCTTGGAAAGTCGCTCCTCGTCAGATGCATCATCTATACAACGTAACCCTGACAGGGCAGATCCCAGTAGTAAGGCTGGAATGAATTCCAGTCATGAGACGAAGGCAGATAAAAAGGTCACCAAACTATATGTAGCTTGTTTATCTAACAGCACTTGCTCAGCTGCATCTGAAAATTCCACTGGCACCACACATGATCCAGCAGCCAGCACCAGTTTGGGCGCTGAGCTCACTCAGGCACCAGCCACCGACATTGTTTCCTCTGTAACAGATACTGGAAAGTCTCTTCCTGCTCCTCCTCCTCCTCCTGTTCCTCCCAGGCCATACTTTTACATTGTCCTCAGTAAAGACGCAGTTAGTTATGGTGCGGGTCAACCCTCCTGGACTCAGTCGTCACCTCCGCAAGCTGTGAGGGACAGAGTGCTAGAGCCCCAGAGCACAGCTGCCGCAGAGGACAGGATGAGAAAAGAGCCTTACCTTACTCAGCAGCGACAGCCACCATACAAGGCAATGGGACGCAGCATGGTACATGTTTTCTCCATAACCTTGTTTTCTTTCAGCCGTGTGAACGGTTCTTTAATTCATTACAATGTTCCCTAAATGCTTTATTCCCATCCTACCTAATTTCTGAGCACTCGTTGTGCCACCTGAGTCTTGTGGTCTTCTACTCGATAATACTTAACACCCTGTGCGCGCCCCCCCAACATTGATCTGTGTGTTTGTGCGTGTGTGGTGTTTGTAGGGGGTTGGATTGGGCTGGCAAGGATCTTTCTATTTTAGGGAGGTGTAAAAGAAGCAAACTCTGTAATGTGATGATTAGCGCTTCTAAAGTGATGGTGAATACAGAGCTGTTCTGTGGTTTGATTTAGCCTCACTGCACAGAACTGGAGAAGAGGGGTGGTGAGGGGAAGGAAGATTTTTGTGAAAAACCGTGCATGTTCGTAGAGGCTAGGGGCTGCAAGACTAAAGTAGTATGTCTCTCTAAGGAAAGAAAATCTGTTGGGGCTTTGTATCATTTTGGGTGCATCCTTGCATGACACTATATGGCTGCGTTAGACTAAAGTACCAATCTCCCCCGTTGCATAACACCACCTTGTTTCCCACAGGATGCCACTGCCACCACCACAGCTCAGCCTGGGGTTATAGTAGTCCCCCTCCTCCAGGTTAATCCAGACAGACAGCAAGAAGGCAGCTCCAGCACTCCACCACCGCCTCTGGTTCCCTTCGGGCAAGGCTCCGTATTCCCTGAGACTGTTTCTCCTGGCTCACCCTTGACTTTTCCGACTCTAGACGATTTCATTCCCCCACATCTCCAGAGGGGTTCCCACCATAACCAAGCACCTTCCGCGTCTGGCACATTACCCTCTGTTTACCCGAAATTGCCATTCTTCTCATCACCACCTTCACTTGTCCCTCCAATCACGGGGGCTTTGCACAGGGGCTTGAAACCTGAAAGCACTGGAGTCATCTCACATACAGTAAGCTTGCCAAGTACCCTCCTCGCCCTTTTCCTAAATTTGTATTCCCAGATTAAAATTACTTTCTCCTTGCAATACTAAACTTTAGAGAGGAGTGATGACTCACTCCCTGCCAGCAGCATGACAACTGAAACCTTGTTTACGTCCTGTGCTAGTGCATGCATGTTGCCTGCCTTGTGCAGCTTTGAACTTTCTATTGACTTCTTACATCAACATTTGACTGTCTCCCTTTGTGCCCATTCTGCTAGGTGATGCACACGTTAAGAGTCTTCACAGGATTTGCTCAGAATAATGAGTTCTCTATAAACAGAATAGCTGCAACTAACTGATCTCTTCAGGCTCTTCTAATAGCATCCTTAATTGTGTTTGAATAACATTTAAAGCAGCAACAGCAGACCAGTTAAAGGTTAGGGCTGGCTTTTTGTTCCACTTGGAGCCACAAGACTGTATGGTCTCTACGCAAATCCCTGCTGAAATCAGTGTAAGATTGCTGCCAGTATCCAATGACCTACAAGCAATAGTATCAGTTACTGAGATAAGAGTCTTCCAAGCATGTAGGTGCTATGGGATAGTGCTTCTTAGAGGGAGAGTGTCTCCTCAGTTTGGAATTGCTTGTCTTTGAAAATTTTGAAGAATTCAATCTGCAACAGTTTTAACTTGGAATTTACTGTGTTCTTCTTGGATTAGGTTTTGTTTTTCTTTAGGCTCATCACCTGTTTTAAAAAGTCCTCAGGGACAAGGAGGAAAAGTAGCTCTCAGCTAAAGTTGCAGAGGAGGCAAAAAGTACCTGACCCTCCTTGTACTGGAAGTCTTACCACCACCATTTTTTTTATATGCTTGCTTGTAAGGATAAGTAAGAAGTTCAGCAGAAACCCCCTCCTCTCATGATGATGCTTTCTCTGCCCTCTGACTCTATAGGGATCTAGCAAACAGACATGTGGGGGGAAAAAAGAAAAAAAAACGACCAAGGATGATATTTTCAAAAGTTCTCAGCATTGGTCTTTCTGCTTCTGTTGAAATCAGTGGGTTTTTACTGCAGAGAGCAATGAAAGTTTGGGGGTTTTGTTTGGTGTTTTAGTTTTTTTTTGTTTGGTCTGGGTTTTTTTGGGGGGGGGTTGTGGTTTTTTTTTGTTTTTTGTTTTGTTTTCTTTTTAATGGAGCCTATCTGCAGACTCCAGAAAAATTCAGCAGGCATCTAAATCATAGAGGAGTAGGAAATTTTATTCTACCTGATTTTAATGAGATAAGAGTCTTGAAACATTTTTGGGCATGCTCACTTCAGGCATGTAGTCACATTTAAATGGTCTTTGTTCACCCACTTTGGTGACTTAGCTGGGGCTGCTGAGCCTATCCTGATCTGACGTCCCTCTTATTTGAGGGGTTCTTTATGTTTTAGTTATCAAAGTGAATCTCAAATCCAACTCTCTCATACTTCTCCCTGACTCCCACTCCTTTTCCCAAATTTCCTTGTTTGGAATATTATTGCAGACAGCAAAATGGGGCTGGGTCTCTCTCTTAGGGACATCATATGAAGACCATTGGTTCTTTTCTGCCCTCATGAAATGTCTATGGCCTGGTGAGATGCTGCTTGGAGCAACATCACCTCCATCCAGCAGAACAGGATTGTTCTTCCCTATTTCCCTTCTAGGCTGGGGAGACTGTAGATGCTTGTTCTGATTATGGCCAATGATGCTTGTTCTGATTATGTGATTTACCTCTGAGCTCTGGTGCTAGGCCTCGCTCTGGCCCCTGTTCAGCCCCCTGCCTGATCCTGTAAGTCCTTTCCCCTGACGCTGGAGGGTATGAAGGGCACTGAGTTGCACTTGGCCCAAAAAGCCAGGAGTAGGGATTCTTCTGGAGCAATATTCTGTGCATATTCAGCGTTTTTTTTTAATAGCGATGAAAATCCCCCTGAATGCTCAGCTCCATTTTACAGATCAGTGGCCTGCAGCATTTCAGCCTGACAGTGGAGTAGCAGGAGTGCAGAAATCTGGTACACTGTTCCATATTCTCTTTGTTTGGATGCTCATTCCCCATTAACGGTAATTGTGTGTCCAAATTCCCTAAGAAGCTTTGAAAAATCTCAGCCTAAACTGGCACACACAGTCTTAGTTATTGTCCCTTCTTTATCTTTTCCCCTTACTACCAACAAAAGCCCGGTATCCCTGGACTGAGATTTTTCAGAGATGAACTTGTTTAAATTTAAAGTCTCCCTGCTGACACAGCCTGTATTTCTACAGAACAACCAGAGCTGTGGTGATACCAGAGGTGGGTTTGAAATAAGCAAATAACGGAGCTGGATGCTTTAGGAGAGCAAAAGCAGCTTGCTATCTATGCTCCAGTGGCAAAACCATGTTGAGTATCTTCCTTGCTAGAGTCCTACTTTTTACCCTCTATCAGTTTTGGGTTTTTTTTTATTTCATTATTTTAACCAGGTAGGTGTTACTCTGTCTCCTGAGTGATGGTGCTAACCTTTGGACTACTTGGACCTTCCCTACCAAACCAGCTGCAGTAACAATGTTTCACTCCAATATTGCATGAGTTTTGCATGTCTGACTTCTTGCTATGAAAGGAATACTTTCAAAACAAACGTTTGTGTGTGTACGTATCAGGGGAAAGATGTCTGCGTCTCCCCCCCCCCAACCAGATTTCCTTATTTCTGGCACCCTGTGTTTGCTCCAGCGAGTCTGCCAGATGAATTTAGTGCCTCCTTTTGGGGTTGGAGTTGTGAAACCCAACACCAAATAATTATAGTACTGCTGTAGCAAACTAATTGCATTAATAACGAGCAGGGTATGTACAAGGAGCAGGGTAACTCTCATGCTTATGCCTTTTTTACTAAAATTTGCTGTGATTATGCTTCTCATTCAGCTTAAAATGTGGCGGGTTTTTTCCAGATTTTCCCAGCGTAGCAGTCTTCTGCATGCTGCTAATGATGTGTTGCTCTCCTTTTCAGGACCCAGGTCCTGTGCTAAATGAAGTGCCCCAGCCTGGCACTGGCACTGACTATCCAAGCTCCTTTACTTCAATCAACAAGTCTTCCTCTGCCTATCCCTCTACCACAATCGTCAATCCCACTATTGTCCTCTTGCAGCACAATCGAGGTAAGGAGACTTGCATATAGATATTTGTGGCTCAAACTGAGCAACCTGTTATGCTACAAGGAACTGGAGAATGTGTGTGCCGTGGACAATTAAGTCCAGACTACTAAGAGCTAACAAAGCTGCCTCCAGAAAGTTGTAGTGACTGGAGCATACAACAGGCAAGTAAGAGGTTAGAAGTTTGGGACAATGCCTACTTTTGCTAATTAAAACTTGTGGATCAGAAGCCACTCTGAGATTGGGGGAGAGGCTTATAACTGGGCTATGGACATATGAATAAGTTCTTGCAGGGTAACAGCTTATCCCCTATCAGGTGTCCTGTCATGGTGGAAAAGGGTGTATGCTCGCATCTATCTGTCAGTAGAACCAAGGTAGCTTGAGGTAGGTTCTCCCTCACTGGAAAAGGGGATATGTTACTTCTCAGCTACTGCAGTGTGAAAGCAGCCATATTTTCAGTTACTGTGGGAGAGATTTGACCTCTGAATTCTCAGCAGAATTTATCCAATAGTAAATAATCCATTTGCCCGTAAGTTTGAACTTGGCAATTTGTTCCTCTATCCGTAACTGGATCAACTCAGACTCATACTGCAGTAGTCTCAAAGCTTTTTGTTTACTTTCTTAAGGTGGGATACTCTTTTGGTTGGTTTTCCCGTTATATCTGGAGCATTTCGGTGTGTACCACACAAGGACTCTGTAGATTTTAAGAGCACGAGAGACAAATCTGTGTAATATGATGATCCCCACACACACTGGCTCTGTTCTGAGACAACTGATGTCAAATTGTTCTGTTTACTAATTACCTTCACAGATAACAATTTGTCCTGTCTGAATATGTCTTGCCTCTGACCATTAGCACTCATAATACTGTATCCTGATAGATTGAAGAGCCTTCTCTCATCACATTTTTGTTGACTATGATATAGATCATGGCCTGATAAGCAACTTGCTCAAGACTGTGAAGTATCTCATTCCAACGCATGTTTTTCAGTCTTTATAAATCAAACTTGTAATTTGCAGGAATCACACTGAACTGGTTTGACAAGGCATCTTAGTCATAAATCTGTACTGACTGACATTGCATGTGTCATACTATGTATTTATTAGTAAAATCCCATAAAAGTAATTATAATTTTTTTTTTCTGGCATTATTGTTGACAGACAGATGTCCCTGCCATCACACTAATGCTTTTCGAAGGTTGTCACGATACTTGCTTTCTTCCTTGTCCTGTGGAGTTTCCTTTGTACTCCAGGACATACTGAGGATGAACATTTAATGGTCCAATGAGCTGCCCTCTCCGTAACTGCTCTCTTTAGAGCAGAAAACTGCTCTAAAACTCTTCAGTACAGTTTATATGAATGTGCTGATTTTCAAGCATTTGACCTCAGTTATTGTCATTCAGCATAGTCCTTAGTTACTGCTGAAGTGGAAAGTATTTCTCCATCAGGCGGTAGGACGTCAGACTTCTTTCTTTTTCTTTCTTTTTTTTTTTTTTTCCAAATGCAGAATGGAAATAGTAATCGAGTGTGTCATCTTTTCTGCCCTCTTATTAACAGTTCCGCTGTGCCTATTTGGTAAAAGAACGAGATCATTGCTAGGTTTCTGTTTGTTCTTCATGTACCTCAAAACCTATTTTTGAGTCTCACATTCTGTTAATTCTTTTACTTCCATTGTCATTTTCTTTCACTTTCCAGCATATGTTACCTACTTATAGATATACATTTTCTTAGTTTTCCGTCATTTTATGTGTGAGGGTTTCTTACAGTTCCTTATGCTTCCATTCCTATCTAGGCTTTATCCCAGCATAACATTAAGATTTCTTTTTGCTAACTTAGTGTTTTTAAGTGGTTCCCGGATCTTAGTTATCTATTACATTTCTGTCCTGGCTGACGTGATTTGGTTTCATCTTTATGGACCTTATCTATTCAAAACTGGTTCGGTCTCATGGCATATAACAAATTGTTACTAGGTTATGATCCACCTTCCCCTGAATCGTTAATTATGTTTTGTGCTAAAATCAATTCCTTCATGTCAAGATGAGGTTTAATATAGATTCCTCTTTTGTGTTCTGAATTAGAAATTTCAAGGTCATTTTCATGCTGGCAGTCTGAGATCTCCAGTAGTTTAGTTAGTCTTCCAGATAGATGATGTGGCTTTCTTTCTCCTCAGTGGATTATTGATTGCTTTTTAAAGAGCTGGTTATCTTATTCTCTGGAGTGACTGTTGTAGCAGACATCATGTACTGTCCTATTTTATGCTTTATCTGCTAGTTCATTAATCTGTAAGCATGTAAGACCCTTTGATTTGGAGTATCAGAGACTTAGAAACAGGTAATGGCATTTGAAGGACGGAAACTACGTTATATCTTTTTTTTGTCTGCTTGACCTTACTCAGTAAGTTGTGATGAGAGATCTCAGAATTTTTTCTACTGGATTTCAGTAATACCAACTGAATAAGATTTATGCTTATAAACAAGTCATTTCAGATCCTCTTGTTCATTCCTGGCATCAAGGTAAGAATTTCTTCCCTTCGTATCTGTTGGTGTCTTGATTAATTTTCTTTTTGACACCTTTATTTTGCACTAAACATGTACTCAAATACTTGTTTCCTCTTCCCCTCTTTTTACTGACTTCAACTCTTAGTCTTCTCCAGTGCTCCCTCCTCTGGGAACTCTGAAGGTATCTATAATCATTCCTTCACTGTTGCCAGCACTTACATTCCTCTGCTGGACCCTTTCTCTGAGAGGCCTACAAGTTTTTGGCCTTTGCTTACAGTCCCAGAACACAAGATCAAGGGTGAAAGCCTCAGTTAGCTGGTGTGTGCCTGGGGCTGGAAGCTGGCTCTGGTCAGGCAGGAGAGTGAAATAGCAGACACCCCCTGCTCCTTCCGCTTCTATCCATTAGCAGCTCTCTTTCCTACTCAGAGACATAAGTGAAAAGGAAACCTCCTCTTCATGTAAAAAGTGTTTTGTTTTTTTTTTTCCCCCCCATGAAAAGTCTATTCATGCATGATATTCCCTCCCCTGTGGAAGAAGAGATAAGAAAGAGCTCTCAAGCATCAGCTCTTTAAACCACATGTTTTTGTCGGGAGACCTTAGTGATTGAAATCAATTCTCCTCAGTGAAGGTGATGGCTGAAGCTGAGACCATCCTCACTCGCATATTTTCTCCTTTCTCATAATACAGCAGCCTACTCCTGATTGCCTGCTTAGAAGAGTGAACCCTGCAGCAGGTGGTTCCCATCTACTTTTCAGGTTCAGATTGCTAACCTTTCCTTTTACCCATTGCACGTAGGGGTTTGTTTCATATGTTGACGGCTACCATATGAGCATAATGCGCACGAGCAACTTGCCATCGGTGGTTAGCAGAACAGAAGTGCTGGGGTTAAAGAACAAAGTTCATAGGTATTGGTGAGGGAGCTACACTTTGTGAGGAGAAATATCCTCACTAAGCAAGGTCTCCCTTGCTTAGTACAAATATCTAGTGAAGGTGGGTTCTGCTAGCAAACAGCATACACCTGGAGGATTGTTACCTACTGATTGTTACCTACCTAGACTTGCTTGGCAAGTGTCCCACACCACCCCAAAGCATAGTTATTTCCTGGGCAAGCATTGCATGGCATGGTTTATTATGAATATATAACAGATGTGATTAATATATTAAAGTTTTGAAATCTTTGCATTAACAATATGAGCTTTCAAGAGTGTTTGTATTTTGTATGTCAGTAAAATAGTTTATTCTTTTCAAATGGCTTTCATGCTTTAAATGAAAGGATTAATTGCTAGGGAGTAGAAAGAGCAGAGAACAGAGAGCTAAAAATTCTTGGTTTATTCCTAGCCATGACTTGGGCAAATCATTTGGCCATCCCTTTAGAAAGCAGCTGTGAGCATCAACTTTAGGGTGGTCAAACACGCTGAAAAGATACCACAAATGTCCCAGTCTGGGATCTCTGTAATGAAAGGCCCTAAACCAAGGGGACCGTTCTGAGAATCAAAGCCTTAACCAAGCTGTCTCTGTGCACAAATCACTGAATCTGTGGCTCGGTAGTATGTGATGAGACTCAGCAAGTACCAACAATTGCTCAATCCTTTCCTATATCCCTTCGAAATGCTACAGCATTATTGTTTCAAGATGTACTTCATGCTAATGGTAACAGAGTTAGTTGTCAAGTTGTTTGACTCTGTGAGTCTTTACTGTTTTTCAAATTGTCTTCTGTCCAAATTTTTTCATTCTCTGATGTTAAGAAAAAATAAAAAAATGAAAAAAAAAAAAGCTCCTTGCAAATGTATCGGTCACTGCATCATGAGATTTATATTATTCCATGAGGCTGCTGTGTGGAGAAGGGACTGTGGGCTGTCACTTTGGCAGGGTATTTGAAAACAGATTCTCTCCAGCAGCTGCTGCCATTCTGTCTACAGCGTATTTGTTGCCTGTCAGAAATGCAGCACCAAAGCACTTGCTGTTTATGTCTCACCCATTTGTTCTGTATTTCTTTTTGTTTTGTTTCTTCCTTACCACAGAACAGCAAAAAAGGCTTAGTAGCCTGGCAGGTATGATGTGAAAGGTCTGCTACATCGCAACTGCTGCCTCTGCTGGAGCAAAGCTGCTGCTTTGTTAGCTTGTGGAGTACCTTTAGCAAACACACTTCCCAGGAATTGCAAAGGAATTAGTATAAATATTTGTCCTGGCTTTGTCCAGGTCACTGAATGTTTGATTTCAGTCTGTTCTCCAAATGCTACCTGTGTGGCCACATGTTAATATATTGAAACCCTAAATTACTCGTCTGTTCCTCCTAAGTCATAAGATTTACATAGAGTTTGATTGTTCTAGTTTACTTTTGGGGCTGCCTTTTGAGCCTTTAGGTTTATTCCCTTGGGGCATATTCTCAAGTTTCTCTACACAGCCATTAGAGTCAGTCTTGCTTGGGGTGAGGGGAGAGGAAGAGAAATAAAAATCAGTTTTTACATGACTCCAAGAGCAGAAGTATTTGTGCCAGATGTCAAGAAATAGATGATAAAATTGTAGTGTGCAAGTATGCATGCGTGCTGCCACCCTCCTCTCCCCAGGCAGCTCTCTGCTCTTGCAACGGTTGTGAGAGTCTCTCCTTGAAAGAAGAACAAGTTGTTTTCCTGGTCACCTTTCCCTCCCCACACCCCAAATAGAAGTAGCTCAGTCTGCAGCAGGCGTTATAGCCACAGTGCATTATGCACCGCTTACTCATATTATTATTCTTTGGTTATGGCCATGGCGAGGTAGATGGGGAGGTGGGAGAGAAGGGAGTCACAGAGAGTTCCTAAGCACTTTAAATATCACAAATAGAAATACAGGGAAGCAAATATTGCGTGCTCTTGCTTTGCTGCGTGGGCCCTGGACTAGCAGAGCATGTCCCATGAGGCAGCTGCTGACCTGGTCCGACTTCATCCACCAGGTTCTGTTGGCTGCGACATCAGCCTGCCCATTCTCTCTGCTGCCACCCTGCTGAGGTGACAGGCTGCATATCAGCTTCTTAGTGTAGGTGTTGTCTCATCGGATACCACTCAGCTGTGATTTTAACGCTTGCTTGCAAGTCCAGACAGAGGTTTCCTGTTGGTTTGCCCTTTTACAAGGTGTTCCCCTTCATTATTGGGAACTCCTTTGTTTTCTGAACTAGAGAGAGCCACAGAGCAGTTTGTTACAGCCCAAATGATCCTTGGTCTGGAAGAGTGAAGCGTGTTGTGGCACAGCTGGGTCTGCACCTGTTCTCAGTGTACCAAAACAACCACACAAAGCTGCTGGCTGCCACTTCTCCCCCTGCTTTTTGTGTCCTCTTGGTCACAGCAGTAAAACTCTCTTGCTGTGTAACCCCATATATTGCTGCTGCTCTTGCAAAAGTATGGCTCAGGTGCTATGGAGTGTGCTGACTGGTGCAATCTGGTTATTTGGACAATTGGGCACCAGATTTGGTGCTCTGATTTTTAAATACCTCAACACCTGGTATATACCTCCATAAACTCTTTTGAAATCATTGTTGCTGCATAGCAAATAAGTCAGTGTGAAGTTTGGGCATTACTCTTTAAGTTACAGGGTATTGTAGGAAATCTGTGGTGAAAGATGTCTTCTGTAGTTCCTCCCTCTGCAAAGACACCCATGCAGCACGTGTCTGTGTGTGCAGTATCAGCTGAGCAGCCATACTGGAAGAGGCTAAAGTGGTCCTCTTGGCTGAGCCCTATGGACCTGGGAACCTGGCAGGGTGCACAGGGGAGGGCTTGACCTAATACAACTCATGCTGTCAGACAAGCTTTTCCTGTCTCCAGGGTTATCAGTCCAGCATCCTCAACCAGTTCTAAGTGCACTCCAAAAAATGCTTTTGAAAACTCCTTCAAAATTTGTTTAACTGGCTGGTAGATTTTTTCCCCCTGGCTATGCCATCCTAGATAGCTTCCCAAACCTTCATATTATAGTATTAAGATGTGAATTCATGGTTGGGAGATGGTTGGCACAGGCCAGATGGTGGGGTTTATTTTTGCTAAATCATCAAAATAAAGATCTTGCTTACATCATGGCTGTGGCACTAGGAAATCAGACTGTGATACGTTTACCCTGTTGTTTAAGTCTATATTAGGTATTTTGAAGATTATCATCATAGTTTCAGGGGTCTACCTGGCAAACAGCCAACCACTTTTCCAGTCCAAGGAGCTAGGGAATCAAAGAGAAATAATATATATTTACTAGTCCTGTTAAAAAAGGACTTTGTGGCCTTCTCTGGCATTAAATTCTTTAGCCTGCAGAAAATAATGACATTTCTAGACCAGAAGCTCAGGACTTGTAACATCATCAGTGACAATGATAAGTAATGGAGGAAAGCTGTGACTTTTCCTGAAGTTTGCATGCTTCCCTCATCCACGTCCAAAAACCTGCTTCCTTTTGGTCTTCAAGGTCATGGAAAAATGGTCTAGTTTCAGTTGCTCTTTCCATGCTCTGTTTCTAGAGGCTTAAGGAGTTTAGTAATGGAAATGGACCAAATACTTCCTACAAAATGGAGAGCCCTGTACACCAGCGACACAAAAGGACCAGAAGACAGTGCACACACATTCACAGGGAGGGGAAATAGGATGAAAATCCTAAACAAGGATTTAATAGATGCTTTGCCCCATTTTGAACATTTGTAAACATTATTTCATTTTTCTTAAAGAGGAGGAAGACTTAAAGTTTCATGGTAATTTCAAACCAACCACTCAAACACAAATCCTTCATATCCTGAATTTTGCAGGGCAAGACTGTGTTTGCTCAAGGTACCAACAGACCAATGCTTTGTTATGCGCAAGCCTTTCCTCTGCTAACTGCCCCTTTCAAATTTCTGCACATTTAATGGCTTTGGGCAGTATGGTGACGTGCATGTGAATAAACATCTCTTCCCCTCCCCGCCCCCCCCCGCAATGCATGCAGTAATGTAAAAAATATAGGACATGGCATAGTCTTGATGAGGCAGACTGTAAAATCACAGATGTTTCTTCTCCAGAAAATCCACACAGAAAAAGTCCTTGGCAGAGCCTAAGGGTTGCTGTGCTGCAGAGCTTCAGAGCAGCCTGAGCTCCCTTGGTTCCTTGGCTGGTAGTGGTGGTGCCTGCTGCTACATGTGGGCAGCATGAGGGAATTCCAGGTGGAAGCAAGGTGGTCTGGAGCAATTAGTTTTTTCCCCCATCTTTATGCAGACTCATGTGCAAGAGGAATCATACATATGCTAAACAACAGTGTAATTTGTTGTTTACAAACTCTGGTTAGGGCACAGAGATGAATTGGAAGCATCATATACTGACTGTAACAAATGGGATTGTCAGGCAGGTGAGTGCAAGCTGTTAAAAAGTAGTGCCCCGCTACCATATAGGATGCTCCTTTAGATTGAAATCACCAGCAGAAAAAGATGTCTAGGAGACTCTATCACTGACGCTTTTTGATGAAGCATGAGATTGCAGAGTCACTAATTAGTCAAAAAGACACAAAACCCCAACCCCCAAACAGTCCTCGAAACCAAAATTTTCTGGTGTCTTACATACATGACAGCTGAGACTCTTATGAGATGTGTGAGGTGGCTGTCTGAGAGATGCTAGCCTGCTTTTGTTGGCATCAGACATTTTCTTAATAGATTTCCTTCAGTCCACATGCTAACCGCAGCTAGCAGTGACACAGTCTGTCTCATCAACTACTTGCTAGGATTTTTGCCCTAAAAGAATGGAATATGGCAATGTGGTGAAATGCTGGAATGAGATAAGAATCCCCCATTTTCATTTCCAGATTCAGTGCCAGACAGACTAGTTTCTGATAAAGTTGAATCAGCACTCATATGGGACAAGCCGGTTCAGGACACAGGTCCAAGTGAGAAGAGGGCAATGGAGGAGAAGAGAAGCATTGTCAAGAGCCCTCAGCACATGGCTGATACCTCCATCGATGATATTGGCATTCCACTGAGGGTAAGACAACACAAAACCTGGGCCAGATTCTGCCTACCTTGGGACTCAGGGAATTCACTAAAGCTTCAGAGACTGCAGAGATTTAGGGGAAGATAGAATTCCAGTTCCAGTGTATTTTATTATGAACGCTTCCCTTTGTTATCCATGACCTGTTTCAGCTGCCTCAGGGAAAAATTAAAAATTTATATCTCTTTTCATCATATTTGAGAATACTGTTTTCTGCTCTTCTGTTTCATTCACAACTAGCAGCTAAGGGAGAGTTTTGTCTGATTTTAGACATCTTAAAGGCAGATATCTCTTTTATACAACATGTTTAAGTTCAGTCAGTGTTGAGGGGAAATTATCATGAAAAGATTTATTAACCTATTCTTAGAACTAGTGTCTGGAGTGACTTGAACACTAAATGTTTCTAACTGTCCATTGAGTACTTAGGAAATTGGTACGCATGACTGAAATAGGCAAGATGTCTACTTTTAGATGTCAAATCAGATTAGTATGCAAAACCTTCCACATGATCTACAGTTCTACGTAGGTTACAACCTACCCCTGTAAAGCTTGTACATTATTAGTAACTTGAGTGAAGCCTGTAACTTCATTACATATGAGATTATATATCTGAGTGAAATCACTCATATTTCAAAGTATTAATTGCATATAGCCTTGATTGTTAGGTAGTCAGTGATAATAAATGAAATAGGAAGCAGAGTGTAAACCTTTTTCATTGCTGGAAGACTCGTAAGAACTTTGAAAGGCTGGTAGAATTTATGGTTGTGATTATTTGGAATACTGCGCTCAGTTTTGGTCCTCGCTATACAAAAAAGATGTGGACAGGCTCGAGAGGGTCCAGAGGAGGGCCACAAAGATGATCAAAGGACTGGGAAGCCTGCCATGTGAGGAAAGGCTGAGAGAATGAGGCCTTGAGAAAAGGCAGCTTAGGGGAGACCTTATCGCCATGTTCTAGTATTTAAAGGGTGGCTACAAAGAAGATGGAGACTCCCTTTTTACAAGGAGTCACGTGGAAAAGACGAGGGGTAATGGGTATAAGTTAATCCTGGGGAGATTCTGATTGGACACAAGAGGAAAATTTTTCACAATGGGAGCAATCAGCCATTGGAATGATCTCCCCAGGGAAGTGGTGGATTCCCCAACTTTGGACACTTTTAAGAGTTGGCTGGACAGGGTGCTGGGCCATCTTGTTTAGACTGTGCTTTTCCCAGGAAAGGTTGGACCAGATGATCCTTAAGGTCCCTTCCAACTTGGTATTCTATGATTCTATGGTTTATGTGTATATTTATTTTTCCAATAGAATACAGACAGATCGAAGGACTGGTACAAGACGATGTTCAAACAGATCCACAAGCTAAATAGAGGTACTGTAACACAGATGGTTTTTATTTACTTTAGAAGACCACCTTGATAACATTTTGTTTTGTTCATGTGAAGAATTGTTCTGGATGTTAAATAAAAGCATTTTGTGTTAACTAGTGTTTGCTCTGAACCACAGAACTCAAGCAATGTATTTGAAATCTCTGAAGTCAAAGGTGAGAGAACAATGAAGTCCAAAGAAAGGTCTGAGTTGTTCTGAAAGGTGAACTGCAGTGCCCTCATGAAATCAAGAGCACTATTTGAGATCAGAAAGCTGCTAATAATTCCATACTTAGAGAAAATAGATCCCTGAACTCCAGTTTTAGCAGCTAACCCCACCCACCCACACTTTTAAAAGATAGTAGGTTATCGCTAAAACTGCTCTGTACATAAGAGAAAACTTTTTACAGTGTAAAGCTTTAGTACCTGCATAATAAAGCTTGATTTAAAGCTTACTGAAACCAATGGAAAGGTTTCCATTGATTTTTGGTGAGTTCAGAATCTGAACTCTGCTTTTTCAAAACCTCAAATTTTCTCCTTTCAAAACTTCAAATTGTGGTGAGCACTTGCAAACTTTGTAGTGGTGCGCTCTCAGGGAATCCCTTACTTTGGGGCACTTCTGTGCCTGGCTGCTGATACATTCACGTTCGTTCTTCTCTGTGAGAAATGGCTGCAGTAGCATTTGCAAACTGAACCCTCTGAACAGCCTGACGTGCAGGCAAATGCAATTCAGAACTGCGCTTATATAATAAAACATAGAGCATGCAAAACTGGAGCTGTATTTGCCGCTGCAGGTGCTGTCATGATGAGCTTTATGCATATGTCCATGCTGTGTTGTATTGGATGGAATGAGAAGGAGTTGAACTGTTTCCTAATCCCAGTGCTCCTAACAGAGGTTCTTCAGCTCAGCCAGAGTCCACGCTGCAGAAGGAGGAGAATGAGTTCAGTCCCCTCAGCTTCCAGGATCTGTCGCAGGGCCCAGACATTCAAGGCAGCAATTAGCAAAGAGGCATCTAGGTTGTGTCATGATACAACATCAGCACAAGAGGGACTGTTCTGCAGCTTGTATGGATTCTTGTCTCGCCCTTTTTCCTCTTTAAATCTGTCCTCTTTGTTCTTTTTTGCAAATCATGTTCCCCTCCTTAGACACTCCTGAAGAAAACCCTTATTGCCCTACCTACATATTTCCTGAACTTCCTGAAATCCAGCAAAAAACTGAAGGTACCAGAAGTTTAGTCAGAGTATCTGTTGTCTTGTGCTTTGAGTTAACTGTGCTATAGCACTCTAATAGTAACTAGATTCAGGTTCTAGATTTCTGTTACCCATGTGTTACACTGGTTGGAAATTCAGTTATGCCCAGTATACCTTCTTGTGTGATGCATAAAATAACTAAATCTTTGCTAAAAATAACTAAATCCATTAATCTTTTTTTAAAGTATGATTCCATTTACTCTAGTGTTGTTAAAGTAGGCAATAAAATCATACGGTGATAGGAAATTGGGGGATGAAGCAGAACCTCCACTTCACTGTGGATAGTCTCAAAATCCACTGCTTTTCTCTGCTGCAGAAGACAATCCTTATTCTCCTACATACCAGTTTCCTGCGTCTACTCCTAGTCCTATCTCTGAAGGTAATAATAAAGGACCATATATATTTTTCTGCACAAATGCTGCCTTACCCATTTATTTTCTTCCCGGAGTTTTTTCTAGTTGCTGAGCATTATGCTGCCTCATAATGATTTGCTGCACTCTAAGCATTGCCTTGACTGTATGATGCCTTTTTGGCTTTGCAGTGCTCCTCTGGCTTTGTAACTAGTATTTGACTAATTTGACTTGGGATTTGCTTGGGTTTATGCGCTTATCAGTTGTATTCAGCCATGTGCGTGCAGTGATTATTTAACATGCCTACAATGCTGACTGACATGTAAAGATGTGGTTTAACTGACATTTCTCCCACCTCCCTTTCAGATCAACACATTTCTTTAATTATTTACTTTTGGTTTTGAATATTAACACAGTATTAGGGCCAGACCCAAAATGCCACTGAAGTCTATTGGTAAAAAGGCTGCTTGCTTCAGTGGGTTTTGGATCAGTCCCTCAATGTAGTCTTTTAAAATAAATATAACTTGGTAACATAGGTTCAGGGCTGGCCTTTGGTGCATTTGGCGTATCTAGGCAAGGACAGAGTTTGACAGTCTCATCAGCACATCTTGCAACTTGAAATAACAGTCTTTACCTTATCCTCTTCATGTGTTCAGCAGATTCCTTTAAACTTAATGTACAAACCAGAATCCTTTGCAGTCGTGTTTCAGGGATGGTGAAATCGTATCTATTGCAGTGAAAATCCTGTAACTGTGTGCATATGCATGAAAACACGTATATGAGAAACTCTGGAATCTGCTGCACACATTGGACATACAGACATTTCCTGATTGGGAAATTGTTGTTGGTGACAGCCTTGTTGGCTTGGTGCTTTGGTTTCACTTTAGATCCTGCAGTTTAGGAACTTGCCTACTTAGCCTGTGCCTCAAGCCAACCCTGGTGAGACTGTTAATTAACCATTTCATTCAATGTTTGTATATTAAACATCTGGTGGGTACTGTGTAAGAAGAAAGCATACAATATGGGTTCTAGCTGAGATGCTCAAAGACTAGGAGATGTAAGGTGCATTTCACTGCTAAAATGAATGTGGACTAGTGTCATACAGGTGTCTACGATACTTGCTCATTTCTTGGTGAAACCTGTAGGTGAAGAGTCCTGTCTTGCAAATCATAATGCAGTGTAAATTATTTTCTATTGGCGGAATGGTATGTGGGTATGGATGAGACAGAAACAAAGAGCCTCAATAACTAGTTGATAAAGGGGTTTTACAGAGATTCAATTTTCTTATTTGTAATGAAGTTTGAAAATCAATTTTGCTGTTGTCTGAACTAATGTAGTTTGCAAAACCAATGATAATAATATATTAAGAGTCTGGTTTCCCATAAATGTCTCCTATGCACTTACAAAAGTGCACATGAAAATGATTTGCTGGTTTAGGTAGTTGAAATTTTATTGGACCAAACACTTGCTCTTTATTCTCAATATGTTGGGAAATGTTTCTCTAATATCTGCTTGGATTCTTTCCTTGATAAGGAATCCGGACTATCTGATGATGTAGATGGGTTGGAGTGCATGTTTCATGTTTTGAAAACATTTCAAAGTCATATACTCAACTGCAAAGTGTTTATACAGAGGTGGACTGAAGCCTCCATTTCATACAATCAGTGTCAGAGTTTTTTGCTTTGGATTGATGCATAGAATCTCCTAGAAACATCAAGATTTGGGCTTCTCTCTGAAATACCTTTAGAGTCTAAGGGTATTGAAATGTAGAGATTTTGGCCAATTCTTAAAAAAAAAAAATCTGCAGATTCTCTAGGAACTACAGGGGAACAGCCTCTTCTCGCTAAAGAAATCAGATTTTGAAACTACAAATTGGTGATACTTTGCTCCATTAAGGAGGGTCCCACAGATAAAATGCAGCTCTGAGGGCCACGAGATCACATTTTAATGCTCATGTCTGATTTACTCTTTAATCTTTATCAAATCATTCCAGATTTCTGTTTTTTTTCTGTAAAAAGGGAAGAAATGTAGACACTCTTCTTCATTTGAGGAGACAAAACTTAGCTGTTCTCCTTATTACTGTAGATATTAGAATATTAGCAATTGGAAAATAGCACTTATCTGCAGTGATTTTTTTTCCTGTATGGTGTTTCTGTCTGAATTATGAGCTATAATGAATATTGACATTTCTCTTCAAGTAAGTAAATCAATTTTTTCATTGTTCAGCAGCACTGAATAATACTAGGAGAGGTGAATGTCTGTGAAGATAGTTTTAGACATTTGTTCATCTGGATTTGTAGGGACAGAGTTTTGTGATTTACCAAGTATTTTGATATCTGAATAAACCCATCTTTTATATAGGAATACCAGTCAATTTTGTCAACAATTCAGTGTAATAATATTAAATAACTAAATATTTGTTTTCTGTCATTTAGGTTTAAAATACGGGAATTGGCCTGAAAATTGACCTTCACTATTTTTTAACCTGAAGGTTATGATAAGCACACCAGAGTCAATAACCATCTGTTTGGAACTTAAACCTTCTAATTCATTCACCAAGAGAACTCAGCAGAGGGGCTAAAAGCTAAGACATCTTTGAGCCTTCTTGAAAGGCTTGATTAAGCCTTGAGTGCAATTTCAGGTCAGCTGTGTTAGCCAGATTGGTTTTTCCAGCAGACGAGATTGGCTGTAGCAGCTGATTGATGTCCTCCTTGAGAGAAGAGCTGGAAATTGTTTCAATTTGTTGATCGGCATCACTGAATTCACATAATGCTTTTTTAGTATGTTCTTTTCTTATCTAGCTTATTCTAGCTTCATCTATTTTGTTTTTCTGTCTTTTTATCTCTGTCACTTTTAGTGGTTTCTTCACAAAGGTATTAGTAAAACCTTTGCTCACAGTTCTCTTTGCAGCCATTGCACTGTACTTTCCTGCATTTTGCCTTGGAAGTCCTATGTATACTTGGAAGACTCATGTATACTTCCTGGCAAGTTTGAACCCTCATCAGCAGAGAAAGGTGATGGGCCTGTGGGTCCAGTTTCCAGGTCCAATCCCACTCACCCTGCTACTACCTTCAGTTCATTGAGGATTCATTCCAAAGCCTGTTGAAGATGGTGGAAAGATACCGCTAGGTTTTTTGATCAAGTCGAAGTCTCTCTGGCTATCACCTGTAGAGTGGGGGTGGTAATGCTGCCATTAGACCTTCTTTTGGGGTACGTCTGCCTTACGCACTACAGTACCATGTTATTCTTGAATAAGGCAGTATGTGGTTCCACAGCCCAAGGCACTAGTTGTGTCCTGGGAACGACATTGCTGTGTTGATGCAGTGTACCACTTTCACTGTCAACTTCTCAAAGAGAGAAGGTTGTTCAGCTTGGAGCATAGACCACACCACTCAGTTACACTGATGTCTGCTAGCTCTTTTAGAGCTGCCTGATTATCTCTATTGCATCCTATAGACAGGTTTTTACTATTTAAAAAGAAAGCTCTTCAGAACAAGGACAGTCTCTTGGTGCAGGTATACGTATGTGTCTCGTGCCAGGAATGTTATCTGCAATTAAAAGATAATCTGAGTCAGTGAATATACTTCAACTTGGTGTGCAAGTTAATACAAGGAAGATGTCCCAGTGATTGTCATATGTGATTAAGAGCAGGACTTCTCAACTCTATTACTGTGTCTAGCACCTAATGAGTTATTTTAGGCATATACTATGGCTTCTAAATCCTCAATTTATCTTTCAGCTTTTGATAAAGTGGACACAATAACCCTTGCTGTAGAGGAGTTTTGTGATAAAAAGTGATTGTTTTCTAAAGTGCTTTGATAGCCTAGAGAAAGGTATTAGTGTAAGCAGTACATTAATATTTATATCTAATCTAGGAATTATTTTAAAATAATTTTTAAACCTCATTGGGATTTTCTTTTTCAGGATCCTCTCCCTGTGGTAAGTATTGGGCATATCACTCAAATTATGGCCAATGTATTAGTAGAAGAAATGAAAAGGGTCTCTGGTGCTTCTTCTTTGGGGCTTTTTCAGCTCACTTGCAAAATGCTTTTGTCTTTCAGATGAAGATTCTGATTCATACTCGCCTCGTTATTCCTATTCTGAGGACAGTAAGTAATTCACATTTCTTGTGTAATCTGTCAAACAGAAAGGGCATGTAAAGCATGTATTTATTTGCCTCCTATCCAGTTCACCAATATTCCTATATTTGACTTATCCTACAGGCAGAACCCAGCTTTCAGTTCCCCGCTCCAAGAGTGAGATGGACAATATTGATTCAGAGAAGGTTGTTAAGAGGTCTGCCACTTTGCCACTGCCAAACCGTACTTCATCGCTGAAATCAAGCCCAGAAAGGTGACCTGAACTAAGATATATTTGGATCAGTATTGGAAGAATCCCTGAAAGCTGTGAATGGGAAGGGAACAAAGGTGGAAGCTTTAGGCCCACAACTCCAGTTAAACTTTTTTGGGGAAGTGGAGATGTAGTTTTGACTCTGACTCTTCTACTAGGCAGCAGTGAACGCCTTCATTGTCACAGCCCAGTCCCCCATTTTGACTGTCTTTTTTTACCGGGCATCACACAGTCTGTTGCATAGTTTCCTGCCTGGGTGAGGAGTGTTTCCCTGGGTGTCATGCTTATACAGTGCCTACCACAGAGGCACAGTGGAAACTCTTGGCTTAGTGTGACGCTGTAAAGGCACCTCAGAATACAAGCAAGTAGCAATAATTGTGGAGAAGCAAAATTTGGATTTATGTTGAGCCTCGGTAGAAGTTTTGGTACACTGTCCATCTCTGAGCAGTCCCACCCATATGAATGTTATTGGAAGTAGGTTCTAGTTGTCTGTGTAATTTCTGATCTTTCAAGATTACTTCCCTTCTGGTTTTTTTGGCTTTGTTTATTACCATGTATTTTAAACCTCTTTGTAACAGTAATGAATGTGTTTACCAAATGAAGGGAAAGCAGAATGGGCAATATTCTCCCAGCTCTTGAACTGCTCCTCCTTCCCTCACCAACTTCCACGTGCTCTTAATGTTTTTCACTTGCTTCCTCAAATAAGCAATGCCATAATTTGAGATTGCTAATTCAGTGAGCATCTCAGGCCACCGGATCAGGAGATAAAGTCTGCTGATAGAATGTGTCTTCCTTACACAGGAATTGAAGGCATAGTACATTTGCTCTCTGAGAAAACTCTTGCAAGTGAAAGGATTACAATAATTAGTGCTTCCTATTATCTAGTGACAAAACAATGTTTCACCAGGGAGAAGTTCCTCTGGGGTTGGAATCTTAAGCAATCAAGTTTATTCTAGACTACTAGTAAAGATCAATCTTGTTGAAATTTGTACACTGTTTGTAGGCCAGTCATTTTGGCTATCATCTTGCCTTACCTTGAAAAAAAAAAAAATTAAATTGCTTGTCTCTGTGTCTCCTAAGCCAGTGGAGAGAGTTTGGGCAACTCAGTGTGTTGTTCCTATCCTAAACCAGGTCAGCAGGGCAAGTGGGAGGAAACCTGGAGCAGCAGTTTTGGTTAGATGCCTCACTTATGTTTGATGAATGCTAGGTGCGATGAATCCACATACAACATTGCCCATCAAAGGGAACATATCAAGACCAAGATCAGAATTAGTTTATCAGCTTAAATGGCCTGATTTCTGGGCTTTTTCAGAGGTATTGGTTATTCTGCATGATGTGTTTGAATATATTACTTTTCAGAGGAGCTGGAAATCGTAGGATATGGACCCTGAATGCTTTGTGACTAATATTGTCTGAACTGTGCCAGTGTGGACACTGCACAAAATTATAGTGGTTTGGATAGTCAATGGACTGTTCTTAGCTATCTTTAGATGTACTAGTTGTATAGTAGTAATTACTACCATAATTGGTTCATGTCTCTAGAAAAGACCCCCTCTTGGAACGCAGAGTGCCCCCAGAATCCAGAGCAGTAGTAGTCAGGTAATCAGTGATGTGTCCAAAATGAAGAAGTTTAGCAAAAGAGATTTAATCTGAGTTCTGCTCAGAGTTTGGACATGTTCATATTTGTGAGCTTAGTTGAAGCCCATCACTAAGCTACTTCCAATCAGGAAAGATTGGAAGTTTATTGAAAGTACTTGGAAGAAACCCTCTCTGCTCCAATGGTTTCAGCAGCTGAGCTGTGTCAAACTCTGCCTGCTACAGATAAACAAATATATGCCCAGAGCCCTATCTGAATTGTTCCTGTTGCAGCAGGCTCCTTTCCTAGATTAAAAAAAGTACCCTGATTAAATCAGGATTAACAGGGAAAAGCGCCTGTCAAAAGGAAGTGCTTGTTTCCATGGAAACGACAATGTTTTGGGTTAATTGATCTTTCTTTCCTCAGGACTGACTGGGAGCCTCCAGACAAGAAGGTGGACACCAGAAAATACCGTGCAGAGCCCAGGAGCATTTATGACTATCAGCCAGGAAAGTCCTCGGTTCTGAACAATGAAAAGATGGTAATGTTTGTTTTATCCTAGTTTGCGGCTTTATCCTGTGATTGTAAAATACTCCCCAAGTGCTTGTCCGGTTCATTCTGATAGGATTCCTTACGCTTACATTGCAGTGCTCGTGTGATGTACTTCTGTATATTTTGTTTTGAAAACTGTTTTGCATAACTTCCTAACATTTTTGTTCTCTATAAAGCAAGATCCAGGGGGATTGAGAGGCTTCTTTCCTTTTGAACATGTTGTTTTCTGTGTTAAGTATGGATCACTAACCCTAGTTTTTAATCCATGTTTGACACTGTGACCTGTTCAGCAGCTGTTTTGCCAGCTGTACTTTTTCTAGGGCACAGCATTAGTTGATGCAGGAGGGTTGAAGGCATTATGCAACAAAGCGAGCCGGTTCAGTTTCTATGTTCCTCTGATGCTTTAAACACTGAACTACTAGTTTTTAGAGTGCCTGTAATGTGCTTCAGGGGATGCCTCTGAGGTGCATTAGGACATGGCCATCTCCCCTGGGCTGCTTTCTTCCTCAGCTGGATCTCACTTCTGTGGCAGGGGTAGCAGAACTGAATGTGAGCTGGCTCCCCAGCTACACCAGTGCGTAACCTGGAGCATTAAGTGAGCTGTTACCAATTTCACTTCGAATTAGTAAGTAATGCTGTGAATTGTGACAGCTAGGGGACATACAAAAATCTCATTCTGCAGGCTTGGCTGAGAACACTTGGCAAGGGGCAGGGCAGAGAGGTGGTGCTAGCCTTGTCAGCCAGTCCTGCATAAATCACCACAGCTCGCTTAAGGTGTCCTTCAGTGGTACAAGTGTGACATGAAGTGCTAGAAAAAACTGAATGAGGTTATTAGTGAATAGCCAGTTTGGTACATAAAGATATAATTGTTCTATATAAACATTAATTTGAAGGATTCAATTGGAAGTGCTAATTGCATGTGAGATTCCAAATGTAAACTGGAGTCTGTGCCTTAACAGCTCAGGCATTGATCGATGCATGGTGTAGGTAAAGGAACGGTCCTGAAAAACCTACCAAGGATTTTATGCTGAAACATAAGAGTGATCAGCAATTTAAATCAACAGAAATGTAAGAATCAAGCCTGATCTGGGACCTGATGTTTCTCCTTAGTATTTTGGTGGGTTTTCTTTTTTCCTTGCAAGTGCAATCAAGGTCCATCACTTTTTGAGGATCCTGCAGCCAGCTTCTTTTCACAGCCGTGTCCCTTCACTGACTTCAACAAAGTTGCTCCTGGTAGGAGCATGATCCTAGCGCCTATTGAAATGAGCGATGGATGACTCTCTCTTGATCCTACTGGGCATTGGCTCAGCCCATTAGAGAAGTGCCAGTGAGGAGTGGTTTGAACATGATATGAGAACTCCATTCCTGCAGTCCATCCTGGAGCAAGATTTCTGCTGACTTAAGTGGCAATTTTGTGTCATGGTAAACAGCTAAGATTAAACCTTGTGGCAAAAGGCCTGCTTCATCTGTGTACTTAAGCCTTTGTGAAAGGTCTGACATCACCAGTGGCACTGTTTACATGTTCAGACTTCATCAGGTACTTAATTGAGCTGTTGAATCGAAGTCTAAAAGCCACAAGCAGGACCATCATCAGCATAATTGAGAAAAATTGTACAGATCTCATCAAAGACAAGAAGAATGTGATAGCTGTGTTACTTCCAATGTTATTTTTTGAGCTTTAATTTCAAGCCATATATCACAGAAGAAAGGAGGTCTTGAAATAGCAGCTTCACGGTCTCCATCAGTCTCATTAAATACAACAGTAATACAGTGGTTAGCGACTAGATCTTTCGAAGAGGCTGCAGGATATTCGTGGATATCTCCTGGCAATCACACCCAGGGCTGTGATTCTGACTATCAGAATCCCAATCCAAAACCATGTCAGAGCAATGAAGAGCCTCCCATCAACGTCAGTGGGCTTTTTGTTTTATGCAAAGGCAATTGTATAACAAGATGAGTACTTTTAGTTGGAGTGCAATAAAGAAAAAAAATTGAGGCGTTACTTCTATTTTGCCTTTAAGAAATAGCCAGATCTTCCTCCAGGCCATCGGAGATCAAACATGATGTAACCATTTATCTTGCAGATTGAAGCATTGCCCCTCTTTCAGCATCAATCCTGAGCTCTTCTCCTAGAGCTTGTTTTGTGAAGCCTAATGACTGTGGCAGAGTCTGGGACATCTAGCAAAGCCCCGCACTGTTGGGAACTCCCCCCTGCTTCAGTAACCCCATCACAGGATGATTTGCATCAGGACACTTTGTGTTGGCCCTCTGTGCCTGTGTGTGACTCATCTCTTGTTGTGATGGAGCACTTGGGATCACGCTGGCATATCGGACATAATGTATTTATATTTTTAATACACAGAGATCCTTTATGTCTAAGGCTAGATACACTGAAATGCGAGAGTTAACTAGATGTCTTTTGGGCAGTGGCACCTCATAATCATCAGCAATGGACTTTATTCTCTTATCTCACCTGTAGTGTTGTTGAACAGCTACAACTGTTTCAACTTTTTTTGTTTCATTAAAACAGATTGTATGAGCAAAAGGGAATTTTCTTTTCAACTGTACTGTTTTCTGTCCTGTCTGAGTTTCCTTCGTTGTAGTTTTGTCTGATTCTTTAACATTTATTTGTGAAGAAACAAGTAATATTGTCTCTCTATCCATCCCTTCAGAGGTTTTTCAGGAATGCGCTCTCTCTGACTTGTGTCTCCTTTGATTTAGAAAACCACCTTTCACTCTCTTTGCAGTGTATAGAACAGGGTTTCTCACATATTCATGTGCTGTTAAAGATGCAGTGTTTGATTCAGGACTCACTGAATCTCTCTTTTTTAACCAAATGAAGATAAAAAAAATTTTTTTAAGTACATGCAGCTTTGGACTCGGTGGAAGTGTCTGACAGTAGGACTGAGGGACTGGTTGACTCCCAGCTCTTCATTGAGTCTCCCTGTGACTCTAGGCAAGCTGCATAATCTCTCTCAGTGTGGGTCTCCTGATCTGTAAAATGCAATTCATTCATATTCATGTCGCTCACAATGATGCCATTAGGCTTAACTGATGTTTGCAAAGCAGTTCATGGTCTTTGTGAGAGAGGTGCTATAGAAATTCCAAATTATAAGGCTAAATATCTACATTTTAGAATGGAAACCATGGGATCTGCATCTCTAACAGTCCCTTTCCGTGTATTCTTTGCATAATGTTATCCTTCTCTTTCTTCCATTCCCCTATCACCAACTCCTTTAGACTCGGGATATAAGCCCAGAAGAGATAGATTTAAAGAATGAACCTTGGTATAAATTCTTTTCGGAATTGGAGTTTGGGAAACCGGTAAGTTTGATAGTTGCAATGACCAATGAAGTCAACCTGCCTTTTTTTTTTTTTTTTTAATGATTGTCACATCTCTTTGCTAGGCCCTAAACTTGGAACAGCTGCCTTACTCATTTAAAAATGTGATTGTTCATAACATCATCCTGGTACTGATGTAAAGCAGCTGTTCTGTGACCACTTTAAGTATTTTGAAGCCATTTACAAACATTCCCCACCTTCCAGCCATATGTATCAACAAGGCAATATTTTTTCACACACCATAGTTCAAACTGCATTTTTGTTGTTAATGTTAGAAGTAATGCCCTGTTCTCATTATTGAAAGTCCTTATTCAAAGCCCTTATTCTCCTTCTGCCTAACAAGATCTACAATGGCTGATAGGTAGCTTTAAGTCAAGGAGAATCATTCATTTATTCCCGGCCTTGGCTTGTAAACTGTAGGTTAGTAATTTCCAGCTATCCATAAACAGATCATGACCCTGTTTCCTGCTCATTTCCTTATGCATGTAGCTGCCCATTGCCTAAATGGGGTGCATCAGTCTGTGTTGAATAGCCCTTGCCATTCCCTGAAACCAAAGGAGTCTGAGAACAGTGTGCTTTCTTTTCAAATGGAGCTGTGTTGCTATGTGTGGGGAAAAAAAAAAAGCTTTGATTTCCCACTCTGGAAAAAGATGAAGCAAAGTTTAATTATTCAGTAGGACAAAAGACATTTTGATGGAGGGAATGCATCAGTGGTCATGGCTACTGGAAAAAATGTGACTTTAAAGCATTTTATGGCCTGGTTCTTACTGATTAAACGCTATTAACTTCATTATTAAATACTGTTTAATAAGCTACTCTTACTGCACCAGGGGGTCAGTATCAGCCTCTCACATCTATTCAAGTGTAGTGATTGTTTCTGCTTTCTCCTTGAGGTCAAATGCCCATGCACACCGTTTTTGAGTGCTGCTGAGATTTCCCTGCATGTACAAAAAACCCGAAATACATTTTAAGGTTCACTACTGGCTTCAAAGGCAATTGCACATGGACACCAGAGGGCAGATTTTCTTTATATCTAGTCTTTGTTCTCTGTTCTCACAGAAGTGACAAAATTCCTCTGCATAGAATGTAGCTGCCTGAGGTTGGGTGCCCAGTCTGATCTCATCATAAAAATAGTGTAATTTGTTCTGAAAAGCAGACGTGTATAGTGGCTGGGTAGTCTGCTCTGTCATAGAAAACTGTTTTATAGCTATGAACCTTGCATCCTAAGCTAAAGAAGGAGCTTCAACAGTGTTTGAGATGAGACCCCATAACTTTTAGACAGTAGAAGTCAGGTAAATCCCACCTCACTGAGGCTTTCAAGTGATGTCAGTCTAAGGATTTAACCCCTCACAAGCTGTCAAGGTTTAAGATTTCCACAAAGTGAGAAGAAACCTGCTTCTCTTTGCTGCTGTGTAATTAATAGCCATATGCTCTTGCAACGAATGAAGGTTTGTCATCTCTGTGATCCTTTGAGTTAGTGTAAGTCAATGGAAAATGTGTCAGAGGAGGGAGAACATTTATGCCCTCAGGTCTTTCTAGAAGTGAGGGTATATCTGTTCCTTAGAAGTGTGTGTTTGTGCTTTTAGTCATGCAGCCTTGGCCTTACTTCAGAAGAGGGCATCTCAGGCTACACCAGCAATCCGTCTCTTGTTCAGCAGAGCATCTGTTCTGGTGACAAGTTCTCCGCCTTGCTCAGGGCACTGTTGTTAAGGGCTGCTTTCCTGCAGCTTGCCTTGAAATGATACTCCATGTCAACTTGCCCTAGCTCCAAAGCCATGCAGCTATGCTCCCTGGTCAACTATGCCAACCCATGAATGTGGTACCATGTACATAGTGCTTTGGCATTACATCAGGCATTTGAATTGAGGATGTCATCTCAGACTTTTATAGCTACCTGCTCTGGAACCTGACAGAAATGCAGTGAAGCGCTCTCTGAGCTTCGTCACCAGAGCCAAAAGAGCATGCTTTATGTAGCTTTGCTTACTCAGGTCACAAGAGGACCAGATTTTTGTGACCAGCTAGTGGTTAAGCCCCATGCCTAATCAGAGCGTTTTAATTGACATTTACCAGCACTTGGGATTTTCAAAGATCCTCTGTTTGTCCCAGCTTTTTTTTCCAATGCTGGAGGTAATGTATACTTCTACAGGATGATTTCCCCTGCTTTCTGACTTTATTTGCAGCTATATGACGTGGGCAGGAAAATACTTGGTAAAAGGGAGCACAGGATTCTTGTGAGCCTGTGGGCGTTGCTCTCCAAACATACCAGAATGACCAGGATGGAGCTTTCCCCATTCAGGAAAGCACGTGCACTTCCTAGGGCAGCTGAAGTGACACTTTGCTGGACGAGCATCCCAGATGCATATCTAGGCAGTTCCGTGGACAGGCGTGTGCCCTGCAGACAGGTAGATCAGTCTCTGCAGCATGGACGCTTCTTCAGTGTGCTGCTGTGACTGAATCCCCACACGCTCCTTCCTTCCTCCTGACCTGTGGCTCCACAGCTCCATGGAGCCCATCCTCAAAACTTGACATTTGGTCAGTCTAGAGCTCGGTTGTCTTCCAAAAGGGGTGCATGTCCTGCCTTCTCACCTCCTTCCCTCCAGTTCCACCCTCCAAATGTCAAACCTAAGTTTTTGCAGCACCATCTACCTACCTGCAGCTGCTGATCTGATGGATAAGAAATAGGTATTTACAGTGTTTGCAATCCACACAGTGGCTGTCCAAATGTAGAAGTGGGCTGGATCCAAGCTACAGATCCAGGCAGTCTAGAAACCTGAAGGAATTTGGACCAAGACCCAAGTGCTGTAGCTCAGTCTCACCTTTGATAGACTGACACTGGGAGATTCCCTGTCAGTGACTCAGAGGCAATCTAGCCACAGAAGTCAGTATGGTCAAGTAGGATGATGCTAAGCTTGCCAATCAACAGAAGTTATTTTTGTTTGGAACAGAGCAAATGTATTCTGATTTCACAAAGTAAAAACAAAGTCTCTTTGAGCATATCAGTGAGAGGTGCAAATCTGGTGAAATGAGGATATTAGCGTGGCTTTATTTGGGTAGGAGTGTCAGGAAAAAGGTCTTTCACTTTGAATAATCCTCCCTGATACATACATGTGCATCCAAACAGGAAAAATCCTATTTTGAAATTGGCGCCTTCACCTGTAGGATAAATTTTAAATAACTAGTTCCCGAACTTCCATGTGTCCCATTCTCTCCACCAAAAACCCCCATAAACAACCCTCCAAACCAGTGAAATAAAAAATAACTCTGCATTCTCATTGCCCCACAATGCCACCACTGGAAATTCAGCCATTTGTTCACATGGTATGTATTCATAGTCTGGCGGGGGTGGGAAAGATTCTTCCTTTTCTTTATCAAAGGCCCTTGTTTTACCCTTTCCTTTTGAAAAGAAGAATGAGCAAAACAAATGCTTTTTATGACTGTGTGTTTTTTTCCCCATTTTGTTTTGTTTCTGTGTTAAGAATGCTTTAACCACCAACTGTGGGCTCCCTCTAGAGAGTCCAAAATCCCATAGAGCACCTTGCAAAAATGAGAATTTTCTCAAATACTACTGAAAGCCCCTCCCCAGACTGCATGTACGCTCCCTTTTGCCTCCCATGATCTCTTGATATTTGTGCTATAGTGGATTTATCTCTCTCTCTATCTTCCTTTCTCTGTTGTGTTTTTTTTTTAATTTCTTTTCAGTGTTGATGCAAATCCCCTATTGTATTCCCCCTCTGTTCTAATCCAGTTTCCATATTCTCTGTGATGTCCTTCCTTATCTTCATTTCCTCATTTCCTTCCTCTGCTTTCCATCAGCCTCCAAAAAAGATTTGGGATTATACTCCTGGAGATTGCTCTATCCTTACTAGAGAGGATAGAAAGGTAATTGTGTCTCACGTACGTTGTACTACAGCATCTAGCGCGTATATATGTGTGTATATGATTTTCTTTTCCTTTTTCTTTTTGTAGCATTGCTTGGGTTTTGTGTGCTTGTGAGTGATTTTTTTAATTGGGTTTAATCTCATTAGCCTAACAATTATGTAGCTAGTAAATTGATTTAATAAACAATTCTTAAAGCATAATCAGTCATAATTTAGAGTGGTGGTTTTGCTATCTTGACTTGCAATGATAATTATACTAACAGCATATTGCATATTGTTACAGTATCTTTTTTTTTTTTTACAGGTGGGTTTTATAACTTTATGGTTTGTAGAATTAGATTCTAGCAGGCCTGTGCATCTTAATTTTGAATGTTAAATGCCTAAAACTATTTCCTCCGTAATGATTGAAACGTGATTAATTACTAGTGAATTTCTGTGTATTGTCCATACCATCTTTGTCTTTTTTCAATTAAAAAGGCTCGCTTTTTTTTTTTTCAAAATTAACATTCCTTTGGTTTCCCCTAACCCTAAGCATTATTTTCCCATTCTTCTTCTCCTTCTTTAACCAGACTGATCTAGAAAAAGACCTCTACCTCTACCAGACTGAGTTAGAGGCAGATTTAGAAAAAATGGAGAAGCTTTATAAAGCACCACATAAAAAGCCACAGAAGGTATTTCCTATTCTTTTCATGCTGCCAATCCCTGTTTCCAAACTCTCTGCTCTAATCTATTCACTGCTGGATGATTATTAAATGAGGTTGGGATAAATAATGGTTCTGACCGTTCTGACTGCATGGCTTGCTGTGTCGCTGTCAGAAATAATAGAACGTGATGCTGAGAATCCGGCTTGAAATCCATTTCAGATACAGTGATTTCCTCTCTCCCTCATTCCCTTTCAGCTGCCCCCCACCCCCACGCCAGTCTCCGTTTAGGGTTTTGAGTTCAGTGTCTGCAAAAAAACCCCCTCTATTTTTCACATGAATAGGCAGCAGCAATCAGCTTAAAATTCTTGGTTGGCGTCACGTCATCATCTCGTGCCTTTCAAGCGTGTTGCCATCTACACTCCCTTCATACAAGCCCTGCTCTCTGCTAGGAGCTCACGCCTACCCGAGATTTGGATATTCCCAAGAGATTTTACACAATTTTCCTTACGCTGCACCTTGCCATGGCCTTCTAGGGCAGGTCAGCTGCTGCTGCTGTTTCGAGGGTCTGCAGGACCCAAACCATGAAATGATAGATTAATTTGGTAACACACCATTTTTTCTATTTCTTTCTGTTGTTGATTTTTTTTGAAGCTGCAGCATTTCACCAGGACTTGAAAAAGCTGCTTTTTCAAACCTAAGATTGGCTTTTTTTTCTTACATAGGAATCCTCAGATAGATGAGGGGACACCAAATAGAGAGTTTCTTCTAAAATTGCCTTCAATTTTTTAAATAATGTGCCTAGGAAGTGTTAGATGGATTTAAAGCAAGCGGATAAGAACTGGCTTTTGCTATTGAACCTGTGCAGCTGGCATTGCTTCTCTTAAGTAAGGAAACTGAACTGAAACATTGCTTTTCTTGTTAGTGCTTTGATATTTTTTTTGAACGCTGAGGAATGTATTGTGCTGCAGAAATGTAATATACCTTTAAAGCAAAGGCGGGCAGTGACCGGTTGGGGGAAAAGCTTGGGGAAATAATTATGAGCATGTGTCTCCTGGTCATGGCCCAGCTGGTTATCTCTTCTTGCTTTTGGCTTTATTCACAATGACTCATTTGCAGACAAAAGAATAGGCGCTGCGAAAAGGGAAAAGGCATGGGCTGTGCTAAAAACCTGTCACTGCCCTGAAGGAACTCAGGAAAATTGCCGCTTTTCTGCAAAGACATTGACAGCTTAAATTGCATTTAGACTTAAACCTCAATGTCTCCTAAAGGCTAATATACAAGCAATAGATGGAAAATTACTTAAGCAAGCCTTTTTCTTTCTCCTCATGTGTAAGTGTGTATCAATGACTCCTTTGTTTGGACTTTTGCAGAATACAGCAGGTGTTACTCCTCTGGAAACTTCCACAGACCATTCTTCCTAGTAAGTTTTCCAATTGCTTTTTGATGTCTCTTTTACAATCTGAGGGCATGCAGGACAGGGTTTAGGGCGTTGGAAATGGGTTGGCTTTATTTTTTGGTGATGGATATAGCCAAATGCATGTACCGTGAGAATTATACATGTGCTTTAGATGAGCCCAGGTACAGTATCTGCTCTTTGATCTTGAATGAATTTTGAAGTGATTACATGAGCAATTGCATTGTCTAGATAAGAATTGCTGATTATGCTAAGCAGTGACTTTAAAAAAAAACCTAACAGACTTTTAACTCCATCTTGATGAAGTTTGTGGTAACCTCATGCAAGTAGCTTTATTGCATGGAATAAACAAAGTTTGTTTCTGCTACCCATGTATGATAGATTGGCTCCTGTTAGATATTCCCAGTTACACACACCAGATCAAAAGGATGCTGTTGATGGAAGGCAATAATTTTCCAGCTTCCAGGAAGGGAATGGTGGTAGCAGTAATGATATTTCTCAAAGATCTATGTGTCACTGCTTTTCCAGAGGAATATGTAATAAACAGTATACTCTGTCTAAATGAGTTGTACATGGAGCTTGTTTGTTTTAAAAGAGGAACACAAAAAAAAAAAAATCCAGAGCAAGATGCTGAGCTGTGCTGAGTTACCCGAGCCATGGAGCCAGCTCCTGCTGCGAACCTGCTGCTCTTTGTAATTGGACTGAGTGCTTAACATTGTCCGTAGGCACAGTGATCCCCTCTGTGTGGATGGTTTGTTAGCAAAAGGCATGTTATTCTCCAGATGCCCATTAATATCATGTGTGTTCACTGCCCCTCGGGGGCTGCCTTAGAGGTCTCCTGTACTTCTTTCAACTCAGTTCCCTTCTGTCTGTGTTTATTCTGCTGGGAAATTCGCACACTGCTGCATTTTGTTGGTTGCTCCTATGACTGTTTAGTTTTGTTTTGATAGAGAGACCAATAAAATAAATGGAAATCTCAGAGATTAGCATAAAAGAATAGCTTATTTTTGCCAAAGACTGGTAAGGTTTTCACCCACAGCAGCACTGTCTATGCCCTTTCTGATGCCACCCAAAGCACACACGAGTGCCAGCATCCGAGCCAGCGGAGGGGAAGCAACCTCAGTAGGCTGCAAATGGGACACAACAACAAGGCCCAGTGGAGTCGCACATTCTGCCTTTAGAGAGCAGGGAGAAAAGATACGTGGAATTTACTGTCTTTTTTGCAGTGTTGCTCTTCCCTCCGTTCAACTGATTCTGATCTTGCAGACTGCCTTGGCCCCCACAGTACTGCTTGCTGGCCCTAATGAGGGAGCAACTGGTAAAGGGACTCTGCCAAATGCCTCCTCTCTCTCCCCCACGTGTATTTGCAAAGGAGGGTTATTTTAACCCTTTGGTTTTTCACAACTAGGCTAAAATGCTTTTACCTCCCAGGTGAGGAACCTCAGGGCAGTCATTATTCCCTGCAGCAACTGGCAGGGCTTCCTTGGGAACCTGGCAAAGAGAGACACGAGGATAACCCCCATAAGGCACAACAGCTCTGTAGCTATGGGTCTGTTTGAGCATTGCCTAGGTTGAAAAAGTGACAGTATTCCCTTTCTCTTTTGTGGTGCCTTTCACGAGCTTTTATTCCAGAAAGTAATTTATGGGACTGCATATGACCTGGTTTTCCTTGTCCAGAAACTAAAATCTTCTTTGTGATCCAGACATTGTGTAATTCCATCTCCATAGCCAGTCCTCTGATGTGTTTGAAAGCTTTCTCTTTACCCCATAAGTACAGCATCTATCCAAAATAAACAGATGCACGTACAAATTTATCCACAACAAGCAGGCGTAACCACAAGCATTTCCACACTCGCATAAATTTGAATCACTCCTGGACATCAGGATGTAAACCAGCTTTCAAAATGTTTCCATGAATTGGCAAATGCCCTATTTTTTTTTTTTTTTCAAACTTTCCAGCAGTCATGCTTGGCTCCAGAATAGCTTTGTGTGAGACTGCTTCTTATTCTGAAGAGCTTGGTTGAGCACAAGAACTGGTATCACATGAGCTTAGCTTTTAGGAAAACATTGTCTGCTTGATTGCTCAGCAAGTCCTTTATACCTGGAAAGGCCATTCATACCATTCAGGCCATTGTCAGTTATTTTTTTAGAGAGAAAACAGTGAAATCTAGAAATCAGATGTGGGGTCATACTTCTGCTTAGATTCACGACTGAAGAAAGGGATTTGTAATAAATTCCAGTCTTTAAAGGCTTAAGAAATTAAAATTGTACTCGTTTTAACAGCATTTTGTTCATATATCTGCATTGTAGACCTAGAGTCCAGGATTTTTCATTCCCTGTAGTGGAAGCCTGAGGCAAAGCTGAGCAGAACTGTGGACATCTGGGAATTTCTTTGGCATTTAAAACAGCAGTGTCTATAGCCCCATACCATTGCTTCTCTGCATGGTCCCTCACTGATGGGCTTGAGAAATTGCTCTGGGAGTCTTGAACTATAGTGTTAACTGGGAGGCTGAACTGGTTGAGATGAACTCTTGAGCAGCTGTGCTTTGTAACGAGGAATCAGGCATGGCTAGTGTTTAAGGTGAGAGGACCGAGATCTGGAAGATATTTGTCCTACTTCCAGCTAGCCATTGAATTTTTTTGTGTCTGCAAAGAAATCGTGCATCTGCTCTGTAACTGTTGTCTCATCTGTAAAATAAAGGAGGAGTGCTTTCCTGCCGGCTGTTTTCTGGGGGACTGAGCTGCGAGAGTTCCCTCAGGTGGAGAATGCTGTGGTAGTGCCAAACCTAGAACATCATTGGAATGTATTCATAACTCTTCATTCAGCACCAGTTCTTCATCCACAGTCTATTATGGGTTCAAAAGTGTGGTTTTCTCTTACTTTACATGAAGCTCTCGGCAAACAGAAGTGACTCACTGGTGTCCCTCCCCCTTTTTTGTGTTTTCCAGCTCCACATACTCACCCAACTACCATGCAGTGAAAAGGGAGTCAGAACCAGCACTGGGGGACCCTGCTGGCTTGGAGAATGAAAGGCAAATTTACAAGAGTGTGCTGGAAGGTGGAGATATCCCGTTCCAGGGGCTGAGTGGTCTCAAGCGACCTTCTAGCTCTGCTTCCACAAAAGGTAGGTGGTCAGGGCACTAACCTCTTCTCCATTCTGCACAGTGTCAAAAGCCAAGTGATGTGGGGCGAACTGCAGGGTTTAGAGTCCTATTCAAGCCAGTTGAGGTTTCCTCTGTCCTTCTTCTTTGCCATTCCCAGTTTTCCCTCCTTTTTTCTCTCAGCCCACACTGGCCAATGTTTTTCATGACCCCTTTATCTGATCCAGGTTCCTTTTCCCAACAGGGACCAGTTCCCTCCATCCAGCACCTCAGCCACACCCCACACCCTCATGTTCTTCCTCGAGGCTGCTCAGGCTGGCCTTGCTATCCATCCGCTCCCACTGCCTTGCCATGCTAGCTAGAGCCCTTCCCTGCCTTTTCTGCTCTTCCTGCTGCGGTATCTCAGCAGGCCACGCCATCTCTGCTGGCCTGGCTACCCTGGTGTAGCTGGATCTATGTGCTCCACAGCCTCCTGCCTGCAATGGGTGTGCAGAGAATGCATGGGACACTGTGAACCAGCAATGTCCTGCAGGCTCTGAGACAGCGAGGCAGCAGAGACCGCTGCATCTCCTCCCCTTTTCTCCCCCTGTTGTGGGCTCTCTAGAACATTAGGACAAGAAAGAGCCTGACTCCCATCGGGGAGCTGTATAGGGGAATGTATCTCTGAGCCAACTTCAACCTAAAAGTGGCTTGAGATGGGGAGGGGACTGGGGAAGGAATGCATTTGGTTTCTGAACTGCTCTCCCTAAAAATAGTACATCACACCAAAAAAGTCTCTCTCTGTCTCTGTCTTCCAGCTGTTTTTCAGCATTATGTCAGGCCTGTAGGCCAGGGAGTCCAACTGGATCTGAACAAAAAAAATCTGTTCAGTTATTGTTCCCCAAACTGCAATTGAACGTGAATGGTTATTTTGACATTTGAGTTTGAACTCAAATCGGAAAGAGACCTAAACTGCAGTCTAAGCTGAACCCAGACTGGATCTGACTTTAAAAAAAAATAATGTCCTGATCTGACTCCTTGATTTTTAAAGACATAGCCAACTACATTGTCTGAAGGACACTCAGCTTATTCCTGGTATGGGGAGCTCTAAGCAGACAGCTCTTGGGCAAGGCCAGCTGATGTGGCCTACATGTGCTAGCACAGTCAGCCTCCCAGGAATAAACTGTTTGGCAAGCACTGTGGTGAGACTATAGTAGGTGTGATTACAGGCTTGGCATTAAGCCGTTTTTGCAATGTTAGTGCCTCTGCATTCTTGCTGACACCCTGATCCTGCCCAGAGTTCAGCTACCCTTTTCCATGGTGCCGCAGCTTCCCTGGAAGCTAATGATGCTTAGCACTTTTTAGGAGGGTACCTTCAAAGTGCTCCAGATCTGCTTCTGGCCAAGCCTCTCATTTTAGAGATGTTAGCAGCACTTCATCTACTCCTGTAAGCGCGGCTTGTTGTGCAGTTTCTTCCTGCTTTTCTTTATGTTTTGGAACTTTGTTTCTTTAAAGTGCATTTTATGAAATCCAAGCATGTTCTTTCTCCTTTCTCAATAGCTTTCTAGCACTTAAGCTAACAGGTTGTATTTATTTTATTCTGCATGCTTACCAGTGGATCGTAAAGGTGGGAATGCTCATATGACTGCACCCTCTTCAGTTAATAGCCGAACCTTTAACGCTAGTCATACCGGTATGTTAGGTCACGCATGTAAACATAAGAAGCCCTTATCAGCTGCAAAAGCCTGCATTACTGAAATCCTCCCTTCTAAATTCAAACCCAAACTAGCAGCTCCAGCTGCTCTTGTGCAGGACAAGAAGGGTATCTTGCTGTCCCATGAGAAAGCTCAAAGCTGCGAAAACCTTCGTAGCTCCATTGCCTTGTTCGATAATAAAAAAGCTTTCATGGTAGACATAGGGGAAAGCATAGAAAACATGTTGATGAAGTCGAAGCAGGAGTATGCCATCAAATCCAGCAGTACCATGAGCTTGCAGGAGTATGGCACCAACTCTAGGAAAGGCTACCTGTTCCCTGCCTCCAGGAAGAGTGGGATGGAGTTTACAATGCTGTATAAAAACATGCACCAGATCAACCGGTCCAAGATCCATTTGGGCACAGTCTCCTCCTGCAGCGTGAGGGATATTGCATCTCAGTTTGAGAATGAAGCGAAGGACAGGATGGAGCACAGCCTTAGTCGAGAGGATTCAGAGCAGATCCCCAAACACACCGTTTCCTCCCGTATCAGTGCCTTTGAGCAGCTGATCCAGAGATCCCGATCAATGCCCTCGCTTGACTTTTCCACTGGACAAACCAAATTCACCACTTCTCTCCAGTCTAAAACTTGTCTGAGTTCTGCCTCCTCTGCAGAGTTTCTTCTGGATTTGCCAAAAGCACACCAAGAAGAGAAGGATGCTGCCAGTTTGGCAGATAAATCCTCCCACTCCTGCAGCAACATGGAGGACACGGCTTCGGATGTCAGTGATGCCATCCCTATGGACACACTTTCAGCTTGCACGGATGAGATAGATCTCCTCTCAAATGCATCCAATGACAGCGGCAGCAGCAGCAGCAACCTCAGTGGGCCTCAGAAGCATAAAATCAACAGATGCAAAGGCGCATGCCCAGCTTCCTACACCAGGTTCACTACCATCCGAAGGCATGAGCAGCAGCAGGCCTCCAGGAACCCTGATTCCAAAGGGGATGTCTATGGGGACAGACACGTGCTCCCCAGAAATGTCTACCTCATGAGCCCGCTTCCCTTCCGATTGAAAAAGCCCTTCCAACACAAATCCTGCAGGACTCCACCCCCAGACTGCCCGGGAAGCCCGGCAGTGCCCAGTCCTGAGAACCCAGATGACCCCATACAGCTGCAGGGGAACGTAGGAGACAAGAGTCACCACTCCCAGCACCAACTGTGCTCCAGAAGCAGGCCTCTAGCCCCCAGGCGCCTGTCTTCCTTTGACATTGTGGAGAGGCTTAGCTACTTCCCCGCCATGGGATCTAGCCAAGATAGCTTCATGGGCCGGGCTGACACTCCTGACTCCTTAAACAATGGGAACCCCGTTCCATATGCTCTCTGTCACAGCCTGGACACAAACAACAACCCGCAAAGTGAACTTGGGACGTACCTAGGAGGTGGCTTTTTGTGTTCTTTACCAGTGTCCCTTCATCTGTCTTCATGCTTTCCTTTCTCCTCCCCTTTTCTTCCACAACCCTTGCATTTTTACTCCCCACCTTTGCATCCCCTGATGCTCGGTTTTTTCCCCTGGTGTGTCTAATGTCCTTTGCGTGTCTTGCTGAGCATTTTTGTTCAGGACTTGTTAACAGCTGCACTTCTGAGAAACGATTTCCGCTGCCTTTCTAATCACATCGGGTTCAGTTTGTCTCTCAAGCAACTCCAGGGATGCAAGAATCTCAACATGAGATATTTCTAGTCCTATATAATTTGCACACATGGGGATATAAAACAAACCCAGATGATTTGCTTTAAGGAGCAGTTTCTCAAGGTCTAGTTGTGTGCGTGTGTGTGTGTGTGTGCGCGTACGCATGTGTATTAAACTTTTCTCAACAGTAAAATGCCAAATCATACTTCGATGGCAGCGACTCTTTTCTTCACAAAGTCCTTCTATGTCTTTATTCTTTCCCGTACCGTTATTTTCTCCCTGTTTTTGGATCTTTGTTCACAAGTACAGCCCAAAAGGGAAAAAAATTAAAATGGATAAATTAGCGACATCTGATTGGCAATTTGGTCAATGGCAATTGAGAATCCTTACTGTCATAATGGAAACAAATTGTTTAAAAATATCTATTTTTTTTCCTTTCTGGTTATGCTAGATAAATCCATCTATATTTTAACTTCCTTATGTTGTTTCGAAGTAGATTCAGAATCACCAAGGCATTTTGCACCAGTTGATTACATGGAAACTCCAGAAGAAATTATCCGCCGACGGCATGACGATAAAGAGGTAATGCCCTCCTTTATGGCCTAATATTAGTTGTAGCAGCTCCAGATACAAGAAATACAGTATTCAGCCTTATATAAGGACAGCTTGTATGTCCATGGCTATGTATATTGGAAGTTAGAACAACAAGCTAGAACTAGTATGTTTTAATTTTAATACTGCCTCTGCCACTGATTTAATGTATAATGTGTAGTCCAGTTTAGCTTTTGTTTAAAATGAACCTGATAGTTCTTATCAATTGCACAGAATGACACGGGGCTTTAAAGAATGTAAAAAGATTGGAGATGTATGTGAGATGTAGTACAACACCCCAGTACTCGCAGATAAAGATGAAATGGTTATTCTATAAGTGAGTTAAGGTTTTGTTGTTCTCCAAGAAAGCCACTTGAATCGGTATTAATCAATCTGGTGAGAATAGTATTTTTCTTGTGGTTTCTCAGGTTTTGAACAGCAAATGTAAGATATTTTAAGCTATCAGAAAGCATGAAGTTTTCCCCCAGTGCAAACTAGAATTCTTTATGGTGTCTCGAGTTGTTGATGACAGAATGTAGCAGTCCTTTTCGAAATAGCTGTGCAACACTGGGACAAGCCGAAATAATAGGAAAGCCACATAGACTTTTCAGCACTGACTGTATTCAAGCTGAGTTAAAGAAGCTACAAAGTGATTGCTTTCCAGGAAGCTGTTAGTTTTCACTGTCTGGGGAAAAAAAAAAAAGTTACATTTTTAGTGTTAACTTTCTGAGTTCAAATAATGTTTGTGTGTGCTTTGAAATATGGTAAAACCTGCTCTTAATTCCTATGTGAAAAATATATTTTTGCTGTCTTCTCCCGTGAAACAGTTAGTAATCCCCCCACTTCCAAAATCCAGCATGAAAATTTGTGTAAGAGCAAAACTCTGAATTCGCTAAGACCTGCTGGCTTCAAATGAGTTAGCAGGGAGCTGAACTCTTCAGCCTACAGTCAGCCCCAAAAGGTAGAAACATCCTTCTGCCAGGTACTCAATAATGTACGTTTCCATTAGTGTGCCAGGGGCTTCAGAAGCCCAAAATAATTCTTTGGGCTTTATTTACTTTATTTTATGAAGTATATTACATGAGCCCAAAGGAAGTACGGGACAACCTGATACCTGAAGGTGGTTAGGCACTCTCCCAAGCTCCTTGCAAAGCTCAGGGGAGTTTGGTGCCTCGGAACTTACCTGTGAGGCTGATTCAGGTCTCTTGGAAGTCAATGAGAGAAACTCCTTGTTGATTGAAGGGCGTTTGGATTAGCCCTCTGCATTATCAGCAATCTTCTTAGGAGCTCCCAGAACCTGGCCAAAACTGAGAAAAACTCCTCGTTGACTTCCGTCAGCTTTGGATCAGATCCTCTGTATGAGCTGGATTTCAGTTATGCCATAATGTTGGTATACTTTCTGTGCTTGCAAAACAAAAAGGTATTGTGTAGTTAGTAGAGTCAGTATTTTATGTTGAACTGTAAAATCCCAGCTATTTGCTGGGACCTCAGAAATTTTATTTAAGTCACGTTTATGGCAGCTTTTGAATGCCTTTAACTAGATTATTTACTGCCCATTTTATGCAATTTTATGGCAGAAACTTTTAGAGGACCAGAGACGGCTTAAACGTGAGCAAGAAGAAGCTGATATTGCAGCTAGAAGGCACACAGGGGTTATTCCAACGCACCATCAGTTTATCACTAATGAGCGATTTGGGGACCTCCTAAATGTAGACGATACAGCAAAGAGGAAATCTGGGTCAGAGGTCTGTTCTAGTTACCTCAGTCTGCTGCTTGACCCAAAGCAATATTTGCCTCTCACAATGTTGTGCTTTAGGCCGACATTAGCTCTTCAGAGAATGTCGTTTGTTTTTTTTTCCACCTTCCCTTTTCCCATTCTGGCTTCATTTAGATCTGCTTTGACTCTTGTGCCTGGTAAATTAATTGATATCTCTATACCAAGCTGCATATGTTAAAGCATGCCTGCTGAGAATTGCTGGTGCACACCTGTGATGCATGCCTTTAAATATCAGCTACTTTTAGTGAATCAAAGGCATTCTACATCTTTTGCATCATATTGCTACAGTGTCTTCTTGTCTGTGCCTTATGCTTAGAAACTTCATGTCTTGTTGATCCTGGCCATGTGACTGTCTCATAGTTTTTTTAGAAATGGATTGTTTCTTCTTCTCTTGAAAGATGCTTAATGTCCTTTAGAAACAATTGGAAAAAGTCTCAGCATGTTTCACTGAATTTGACCTGGTCAGCCTTTCTGGAAGAGGCAAAGGAGGAGGTAGACGGTTTTCCCGTGAGCCTAAGGCACTTTTCCCGAGGGCTGGATACTAATCCAGGGTTCTGGCCAAATGCCTTTTCCTGCCTTAGGGATTGCTGCAGGGGCTCTGGACACAGCTGTTTGCCCAGAGGTGCTGCACTGCAGCGGTGGGTGAGGTGGTCACCATGTGGATGGAATATACTTGTCTGCCCTTTATGTAGTTTCAAATCGTCTGGTGCCACGTGAATATGACCACTTCTTATTTTATGCTTTATTACCGAAATGACTTTAAAAGTATCTGAATATTTTTTGGCCCTTAGGAAATCAGCCAAGTAGATCAAGTTTTAAAGCCTAGGCCTGCTGTCAACGTCCTCTTTGGCTTTATAGCCACTGAAGACATTTTTTGAGACATGTGCTTAATTTATTCATATTTTCTCCTCACCTTTGTCTCTTTCCTACCAATTTATACAGAGTACATGGGTCACATTGCAGGATTCAGCAGAGCCAGGCAATAATCAATAAGGGCCACATCAAATAAAATCCTACTGATTTTTTCCCAGCTAGTAAATTTTGCTTTTCCATTCACATGTCAAGGGAAATTTGGTCCTGGAGCCCCAGTAACTGTAAATACTGGAGCAGCTTTCATTCAACAGGGTTTGTCACATTTAAAAGTTTACTGCTGTTAAATCCATTTTCTGTAGAGCTCTTAATTACTGTTATACCAGAAGTTGGCACTTTTTGCCCTGGTGGGAGAGACCCATCCAGCGTATTTGGACTGTATACCAGTGGCACACAAGCTTGTAGCAGAATACCTGCATTCAATTTCTTCCCCAGACTAATGTTAGCTATAGAAGAGGGTGCTTTTCCTCAGAAGAGGGTTGAAAACCTAATTATTATTTTAATGTGTTGATTTTTTTGATCTCTAGATGAGACCTGCTAGAGCCAAGTTTGACTTTAAAGCACAGACGCTAAAGTGAGTACAGCTTATTACTACTGCCTTGAGTGTTCTTCCTCTTCTTTTTCCCCTGGGATGCAGCATTTATGAAGGTGTTGTGCAATTGGATTAATGTTTTGGGAGTGTCTTTCCAGCAGCTCAAAGCAAAGGTGTCTATAGTAAGGCAGGGAAAAGTAAAATGAATCTTGCAGGTCGTAGCCTCTAAAGGACCTTTAGGAAAACGTCTTCTTTCTCAGTGCATGTGTATCCCATGTGATTTTTAGGGCAAACCCGCATTCTTTACTGGAACAAGTGAGCGCTCTGCTCTGAGGGTGGGCGGAGCTATGGGATGTTCCTCCTCGCACCTTGTAAGCAGTATGGCTGGTTGAGACCTTTCAGCAGCAGCTCTGTCACTGCCCTCGTGCTGGAGATGGAAGAGATTCCCCTGCTTAACATCCCTGGTTATGCTCCCACTTAGGAGCTGGAAGAACTGTGTTAGTAGCTTACTGTGTAAATCTGCCATACAAATGGTCAGAAGAACATAGATATGCAGAACAGCAGCATCCTTTTGACTGTGCTAAGCATAGCCCAAAGTCAGCAAGGGACTTATACAGATGCCTAGCTTTAAGCATGTAGGTGGGCCCTTGACTTAGGATTTTCCTGATTCAGGACCTATAAGGGTACAGAGTGGTCACTGCTCCTCTGGCATCTGTGGATACACCAGTGGATGTTTCTGGTGGCATTGTTGTACCTCTGAGCCCTGTTGTGGTCCCTCAGGTGAATCACACAGCACTACTTGTTCTTTTTGGGGAACACTGCTGTGAAGAGAAGGCCTGGAAGACCCTTCCTTCTGCATGAGCCTGGAGAAGCTCTCATTTTAACATTGCTCAGTGAAGGACCTGCTGTTTTTTTTCTCAGGTGCTAATGTCCTGGGAATATTTTGTTATATGTTCTGTAGGTGGTGATTTGTAATGATTTACACAGCATCTCCCCAGCACCCGTAATAAAACTGAGGGAGACGTAACGTGGAACTGTTGTGTCCCTTGAGCAGAACATAGCAGAGTACCAGGCAAGAATAAAGGATAGCTTGTGAAAATCATGTTACGAAAGACTGGGTTGGTTGTTTTCCTGTGGGGACTCAAGTAGTAGGTTTATGGGCCTAGTACAAGCTGCCCACAGTGGGAGTTCCTCAAGCTGCAGACATTCATATTTTTAGCACTGAAGACTGTAGATTGAAATCCCCATTGTTAGCCCAGGTGAAGTCAGTGGTTGCACAACCACAGGCTGACCAGAAGTGTAATCGTTGCAGGATCAACATTAGCGTGTGAGGAGGTTCATCTAATCAGCAAACTGCTTCGATTAAAATCATGAGTCTCTTTGGAAGGCACTTGTGACATGACCTGTTTCAAAACATACCATACCCAACATGGAAAGCAGCCAGTGGCATCTTTTACCTGAGCTTGACCCCATTGCTGCTGGAGGATGTGGTTAGAAGGAACCTCAGAGGCTAGCTTTTTTGACAGGGTGCCCAAAGAGCAAGAGAGTCCCTGCACATCACAATATGAACAGGATAATTCTCAACATGTAGCTTTCACTTTGGGTGGAGCATGATTTGTATCAACAGGGCTGATGCAGACCTTGGTACCTAGGGATTGCTGCACAGAAAAAGAACGTGTCTGTTCTCCAGCGAAGTTCTGATGGAGTGCTTGTGTTGTTAACAGGGAACTTCCTCTACAAAAAGGAGATATTGTTTACATTTACAAGCAGATTGACCAGAACTGGTATGAAGGTGAACACCATGGCAGAGTTGGCATCTTCCCACGATCATACATAGAGGTAGCTGCTTTCCTTCCAGATGTTCTCTTTGCCCACTCCCTTTCTGTCAGTGACCAGTTTATGGGCTTCTTGTATGTGACTCATTTGTTCATTCTAGCTCCTCCCGCCAGCTGAGAAAGCTCAGCCCAAAAAGCCATCACCATTGCAAGTATTGGAATATGGAGATGCTATTGCTAAGTTCAACTTCAATGGAGATACCCAAGTGGAAATGTCCTTCAGAAAGGTAGGACATTTGTTGTGCTGATGAATTGAATCCGGGCAAATGCGGAAGTTTTTTAACACTGGTAACTTGCAATTCCAACAAGCTCCAGTAAGACGAACTCTGTATTCAGGAAGGATTCCGTCTTGTCACCCATGTTTTTACTCCATAGTCATTATGTAGTGAGAGTGTTGCAGGCAGGCTGAATCAAGAAGTGCCAGTTGCTTCCTTAGGGCTAGCTGAGAAGATACTCTGAGCACAAGTGCTGGAAACCTGGCTCAGCAAGGCAAATTAGATATTTGGTGACATCTCCAGCCTGACCCTCTCCAGTGGAGATGTACACAGTCACACGAGAACGGCAATATAGAAAAGAAGGAAACTGGGTTCACCTTCCTTCGTACTACAAGCCGAATCACTGAGCACAGGCAAGTGAGATTCTGTGGTATTGAAGTGGCTGGCTAGACCTGACTGCAGAGTAAAGGGATAGGAATGGATTTGTAATGGCTGTTCAGAGCAAAGTCAGCCACATTTAGATTAAGTAGCAACATTTCTCCATCTCAGCCAGCTTTCTGTTTTGATGCTCAGGTTAGATCTTGTCTGTCTTCTCTTTTAATTATACATGAAGGTGGGGCTTGCAGTTTATATTAAGGATCTGGAAGTCACTTCATTTGTCAGCAAAACAGGAGAAAGCATAGAAAGACCTAGTTTAAACTGCAGACCTGTGCATACTTCTTGTACACCTCATACCCCTGAGAGTCTCGTGGTCAGCCTGAAAGTGCTGGTTTCCATTTTTTTCCCCTAGCAAGTAGGGTCTTGAAAATATGAGCATAACTGCGTGAGCATAACTGAGTCTGCAGACAGCCCAAGTCAGCATCAGAAGATCTGCATTTCCTCCTTCTCTGAACCGAAAAATATCATTCCCACTCAGAGGCTAGGATTAGGACCACATAACTGGGAAATAGGGGAGACTGAGAGCCACTGATTGTTTTAAATCAGCTGCAGCAAGATTAGAAATGTAATCGGCTTTGGAATGATGAAATATGTTAAAGTAGGACTACATTGCTATTCCTTCCTGTAGGGTGAAAGGATCACGTTGATTCGACGAGTGGATGAGAATTGGTATGAAGGAAAAATCTCTGGCACCAATCGCCAAGGCATCTTCCCTGTCACTTACGTGGAGGTGCTCAAACGGCCAGTGGTCAAGAATGCCATCGACTATCCTGACCCACCAATGTCCCTCTCCCCTAACCGCAGCATGACAGCTTCACCACAGGTATTTGGATTAGATGCAGCCAGTTACAGCACCTTGCAGAACAGAGGGATGTTGCCATTGCTGTGCAAGAAGCAACATCTGAAAAAAGCTGTAGCTAAGAGTAGTGTTTTGCACAGTAAAAGCCATGTGCTCCCTGCAGTATGCTGCAACTGCAGGAAAAGGTGATGTTTCATTTACCAGAAAGGTTAATGGACAGGTCATTTGGGGATTTGGAGACTCAGCTTTTCATCTCTGATCCGTAGCTTGAATTCAGGCCAGGTTGAAAGGGCTACAGTTCACAGCCGTCTGAACAAATTTCACTGCCAGAAATGGAATGAATTGGTGATTTCGCTCCTCCTGAGTGCGTGTTTACACTTTACAGACCTCCACTGTGATGAGTGAATTTTTTATTGTGACTATTAAAAGGGCATGACAGACTGTTATAGTCTGTAGGAGTCATTATGTTGATCCCAGTCAGTTTGAATCAAGCTAAATGTTCCAGCTCATGACCAAGGTTTTGGGAGACAGGGTCAGGAGAGTGGCCTGTATTATTTGAAATTGGTGCTACATGAAGTCAGGTTTTGAGAGCAGGCCAGTCTGGGATCTTCCGTGAATATTAGATTCACTATAAACCATACTGCAGTTCAAACCAGAAATGAAAATGGCAGCAGGTAATTGTATGGGGATCCCAGAATGTTTGCTGTGGAAAATGTATCAGGGAGGCAGTGAGTCTCTAAATCCCTTTGTTTTGCTCTCATCCTGCAAATACTCATGCTTGAAGGTCAGCATGACGTGTCTGGGTTGTGGCCATGAGGTTCTGGTGCATCCCCCTCTCACCCACCGAAGTAAGGTCATTCTGAGGTCAAGACTGCAAGGAACAAAAGTGGAGAACTGGGATTGGGAGGAAGGGATATACGGTACAGGTTGGATGGGAAGGACTGCCATGGCTCATGCCTGGTGTCTGTCTGGATCTTCTCTAAAAGGAGTTTTTATTCTTAGCCACTGTGTAAAGAGGAAAGACTTGTTGCGTGTTTGGGGTTCCCTGTCAAAGTGGACCTCCTGTTTGAGCTTGGCAGTCTCTCCATAGCTGTAGCCTGTCTGCCACCAGCTCTCTGCAAGCTTTTCCCTTTCATGGAAGGAGTTGTATCCATCCTTTTTTGGTTTCCTTTGCTATTCTTTTGATTCCTCCCGTAGTAAATCAATTCTCTCCCTTACTTTTTGCCTAACTTGGCAGAGGACTGAGAAATGCTCTGATCAGTGCTAATGTAGCTGATCTCACTGATGTCGCTGGTGGTAATAGCCAAGGGCAGAACTTGGTCATGTGTTCTGCCTTTATAAACATAGGACCTACTTTAATCACCTAAAAACCATATAGCCACAGCTGGCTTTTTTGATCCCTTTTTCCTCCACAGCTTCAGCAATGCAAGTTTCTTGAGGAGCAGGCATTGCTTATGCTAGACTTGGATAAAGTCAAAATTCATTGCAGCAGTGAATTCTGACTGGGTCCACAGTGTGAGTTGCTGGGGTCCCAGCTATTACTGCCAGGCCAGTCAAATGCTGCATGTTGTTATCATGGATGGTGGCTTCAACTGCTCCCTGAGGGACTTAGGTCATATGGTGTGAAGTCTAAGGTTTTCCACAAGACGTTTTGCATCTGGGATCCTGGCAAAGGCTGGAGAAGGGTATTAGCAGCACAGGTACAGACTGGACTCTGTGGTTGGAGTAGCTGTGGACAGCATATTCTCCAACATGGTGCACCTGTCCGTGGAAAACTTATGCACCATGCTTGGTCACAGATCTGCTCCTCTCCACACTCGTTCTCTCTCCTTTTACTTTTGCTCGGTCGTTTTGTATTTTACTTTACTATTTTTTTGTTCATTTCTTTCTTTTTCTCTCCTGCTTTTGTCTCCTTCAAGTCTCCCAGCTCTGAGCTGCTCCATACACCAACTCCTCCGCCTTTGCCTTTTGCGCGCCGCGCCTTATCTCCAGAGGTGCAGGCGGTCACATCTGAGTGGATTGCTCTGACCGTGGGAGTATCTCCTAGCACCACTCCTGCCATAACTCCTCCATTGCCTCCTCCGCCTGAAGCCTCCCTCCCTCACACTGACTATCTCTCGCCTTCTGCTGCAGCCAGCCCTTCCCCCACAGTCAGCCTCCACCATTCTCATCTCTCTGGCTCCTCGACTCCCAGGTCCATTAAATCCCCATTGCCCTCTTACTCATCCAGACCTCAGTCCTCTGCTCGCAGTTTCTATCAGGCCGCTCCGCAAAGCGACGAAAAGTTTGCTGGCTCCCCTTCTCCCAGCGTGAGCTACTCTAATTCCCCTCGCTGGGCAGTGGAGAGCCCCGAAAGCGTCCTCGCAGAGCAGCGTGACACCACTGGCAGCCAAGCCTGGCTCCAAAAGACTAGAGAGGGCAGCAGCAACACCGAGCAGGGTGCTCATGCTGTTCCCAAGATCTCTGTCGAGCGCTGCCTGAAACCATCCCAACTAGACATGCGTGCGAGCCCAGAAAAGAGACCTGTGGGTTCCTCTGAGGACAACCAGTTGTGTCAGGAGCTAATGGCTATTGTGCAGGGAGGTAAAACAGAGAAAAGAGGCATGAGGAAAAGTGATCTGGGAAAGTTTCAAAGCGGGGAAAAGAAGGTACTTCTCCTGCATGTGTGTGTGCTGCTCTGAATCCCTGATTTTAACTGGTGTGTTGAGGTTTGTGCTGCTCTGCTGGCAAGGCAGAGCCAGTGGCTGCCACATGTCATTTTGATGATCCTAAGACCTTCTTCCAGGGCTCATCAGTGGCATTCACTGGATAGCAGATCAAAAGTTTTAGAAGAGAGCTCAGGAGCAGTGTAGTGAAAATTATTTTAGAATAGATAATAACAACAGACTGACTCCATTGGTCTCATCTAATAAGGTGATTGTCCCAGATAGTGGCTATTACCAGATGTGTCAGATGAAAGTATCACACAGGCCTCATGCCCATATACCTCACTGTGTAGAATACAGGCAATTCCTTGCTATTCAGAGATTTTCCAGTGTGCAATGGATCATCTTTGCTGGTAGAATTTATTTGTTCCTCCTGAAGCCAAGGACTGAAAAGCCTTGTAAATGTCAGCCTGGCTCCTAGAATCACAAAAGCTGTCCCCTGTTGATCCTGGAGCCTGTGGTTTAGTGAACCTTAGTCTGGGATGTGCATGACTAAGTCAGGGAGGCTTGATTGTTATCTATGCATTGAGTGGAATTTATTACCTTTGCATTTCCAAAATTATGTGAAAGGGTCTAGCCACAAATGAAAATTAGACCTAGTGATATTTTTCCCCAAGAGTTTTTAGTTATATGTAGCTGTATGTTGCAAGGAGAAGGAACATAGGGAAACCTTCCAGTAGCTTCTACCACATATCTTCTGCTCCCAGCCTTGGTATAGGAGATCTGCCTTACTTTGCAGCTCTCAGTTGACTTGGGGTCCATTGTGGGCCACAGCTAGCCAAAATACATTACAGCACCCTCATGCTACCTCCTGTAAGAGTGGAAGTTTGGAGAGCTCAAAATCATAGCATTATAAATACTGTCTTGGGTGCACTGCGATAGCCTCCATGACATACCCTATCTAGCCAACATTAAATAATGAGAAACTAGGGTTTCTAAGATGACACATTTCACACTGGGAAATCTTATGACAAATTGTTTGATTTCTGCTTGAATCATAACCAGAAGTGTATTGAAAGCTGTATAAAGACTGTGCTGTTTACCATCGGGATATATTTTTAGTAGCATTTTTTACAGGCATAACCTGCATGTTTAAAACAGAATGAGGTGGTCAGCTCAGACAAACCAATTGGAAACTGCACTTGCCCTTGCATGGAGTTACGTTTGCTGTGTGTGCATCAAATTTACAGGATAGTAGATGCTCTTATCACTAGCAGGGATTGTGATAAGAGAGTGTGTGCCAAGCTGACCAACTTTTCTTTTCTTCAAAAGACTGCAGACTCAAAAGCATTCTCTTCATCTGCTCCTCTCTCTTCCTCTGCCCTCTCTTCCTCTACTGTCACAAAACAGCCACCTCCCAGACTTACACGCAGAGTCAATAAGCCACAGGTAATCATCTTTGCTGATTACTCTTCCATTACTTAGAGTTGATTCCATGCCATGCCGTTGTTTTGTCATATGCTTGTTTAGCCATTTGTTGATTCCACAGGTGAGATATTTCTTCTGTCATTTAATTCAGAATTTTTATTATTAAAAAAAAATAATTTAAAATGACTTCCAGGCTGTGCAGAAGGGCAGGTACGGGCAAAATCTTCAGCTGGTGCAAATCCACATAGCTCAAGTCTGGGTTTCTGCCAGTTTGTACCAGCTGAGGATCTGATTTTCTGTTCCTCCAAAGGATTAACCCAGGGCTTATTTAGTTCTGACCTTGAGTTCTACAGCTTGATTGCATTATAAGGCAGTATCGGTGGTCTTGTTAGCGGGAATGATGTAGCGTGAGATACTTTGGTTCAAGTTTTGTTTAACCACCTGAGATCAGGATTCAGGGTTCGAGTGTCTCAGAGCTGAGGGTAAGGCATACACAACTTGGTATCTACAATGTCAGTGACCTGTTCCAGCCTTCTCAGGTGGGATTCAGAGGTTTTCAGCCCTACTGGTGAGAGCTACAAACATCTTTAAAAAGGAATGCAGTAGGGTCTGTGCAGCATAACCAACTCAGCCTCAGCGCTCTGTGGCTGGGATGTCCAGGGTCTGGGAATGAGCAGTGCTCGCAGCTGCTGGTGTCTCATCAGTCCTTCCAGGTATCTTCCACAAGATGGCAATATTTGAAACAGAAAGCTCACAATTAGGAAAAACTAGGCTGAGTTTGTAGTGATGGGTATTGGGGAAACAATCTTTGGCTTGATCAGTGAACCAGGCAGGCTGCCTGTGCAGGGTGAGCGTGGGAAGCAGTTGCCAATGTTACTTATTTTCTTGATCAGTTTGTGAGAGCAAGATACAGCTCTAATCCTGAAATTTTCCTGTTACCTTTACTCACCTCATTTCCTTCCGATCGTGAGCTTGCACAACTTTTTAGTGAACAACCACCTCCTGCTTCCCTTTCAGTTTCAATATCTGAGTCCGATAGGATAAATATTCTGCTTCATGTTAAAAATCCACAAAAGTTTTCTGTGTGGCCTTTCTCCTGACCTCTGATCTGCTTGGTCCTGCTGGTGCTTGCACTGGATGTATGTGATTCAAAATAGCAGAAGCATGAAAGATGTTTCTCCTGAGTGCTGACTAGCATGCAGTTCTATTTTGGGTGTTGCACCTGGTTGTAATCGGACCCCGTAGCCTTTCTTTGGAGTCGAAGTCAAGCCAAAATTTAAATTTTATATGCCTTGACAATCAGAGCATTGTCAGTGTCAAGTTAAAACTGTGTGTGACATTATCAGTAGTCTTGACCTCCTTTCCAGCTCTGGGTCTACAGTTGTTTAGGGAGCAGGAGCGGTATTTATATGTGCAAATGACTTCTCATTATCTGCGTGACCCATACAGAGGCTGATGTCTTCAGCAGAACTGCAGGTAATATCCTGGAGGCCTTTTCAAAAATCTGTCATCTTTTCACTGATTGTAATCAAATGAGAAAAGCACTTAGTAGACATGGAAATGAGACATCACATTTGGGTTTGGTTTCCATTACTGTCCATCCCTGGCGTTTGAGATATTTTACCATTTTGAATTTTAGTTTTCTTTCTCATTATAGAGAACCTTCCCAGTTATGAAATTCTGACCCAGGGTTTTTTGCAGATTTAAGACTCCTTTGGTATAGGGCTGGACTAAGGACTGTGTTCTTGCCTGTTCTGTTAAGTAGTAATATAAAGTGCAATGGCTTTTTTAGCTATTTGGAAGTTATTCCCTTTTGTTTAGTTTCACAGTCCAAACTAAAAAGAAAAAAGAACAACCCCACAGCATGTGAAAGGTATTTTAAGTATAACTTATAGATAATTTGTTTCAATATTCCTAACACATGATATTAAGCAGTAATGTAATCTATCAAACTAATTTATTTCAGGGGACCCTCAGAAATCTTCTGGTTTAATTCCAGATTTACTCTGAGGTCCTCTTAGTGTGACAGTCAGCAGTGGTGCTAGTGAGTGTGCGAGCAGTGCAGCAGCTTTGGCCCCGGGCCAGACTGCAGCCGGCCATGGGGTGGGGAAGGCAGGAGTGGCTGGACGAGGGTCCCTGCATCGCCCAGCAGCGTGAGGGATGTCGGCGGGGGGCTGTCTGCTCCTTTCCACTTGTACAAAACCACTCAGGCAGAGTGGTGAGTAATTTCACCCACTTTGTGCTGGTAGAGAGGAGAGCATATGAGGAGGGTGCTCAGACCCCATGTTCCCCAGCACAGACCAGCTACGCTTACTTAGCGTGGTCATTACTTAGCACCATCTCCAAGGTAAGCTTTTATCCCCCCCCAGTGGTTTGCTGCTGCTCCACAGGTTCAGCACGGCGGCGTTTCTGCCCCGCGCGTTTATTGTCCAAGCCAGAGCTGCACAGCCTGCAGAGATGCATTTTCCTGCTGTAGTCGCAGCCTTCAGCTTCTGATCCAGGGGCTTGGGGAGTCTTTCCATCGACTTTGACAGCCTTTAGGTCAGACTGCTCCACACTGCAGCCTTTTCAGTGTCCTTTGTGAGAGCTCTTTGGCCAGCTTTCCCCTCGCGTTCACCAGAGCTGAGGCTTGGTGTGTGCAGAAGTTTTCCTTTTTTCTTTCGGCTGGGCTGGGGAGTCCTCACTGCTCATGGTTCTCCATTCACGTGTGGGAGCATCACTGCTGATGTGTGCCCTTCTCTGAGGGGATACCAATTTGTCTGTCTGTCTTGTCTGTCTGTTAGTCTGTTCTGCTTAGCTTTCTCTTTGCTTATGTAATCCTTTAATTCCCACCAGAAAGGGATGGAAGAAGACACCTAAACGAGAGCTGTAATGGATAGACACACTGATGACACTTGACTTTGCTAGGAGCAGTAAGAGCATTATTGAGTAGCCCCAGCATGTTTCTTTCTAACAGTTAAAACCTGCCTCACAGCTTTTCTAGGCTCTTAACATAGAACCTTTTTCTGGTATTCTTACAAACCTGTGGTGCTCTTTAGATCCATTCTCAAACTCCGTATGAGGTGGAAACAGTGGCCAGCTGTGCTTCAGGACTGAGTGTACCGCATATTTGCATAGTCTGTAGACATGGAGACATAGACACTTAAGCACCTGCTTAAGTTTATTCACCTAGTCTTAACAAAGAACGTAGTGTGACTGAGGGATTAGGAGTTGAGTTGAGTTGTCCCCACAGGTTGTAAACACTTGGTCACTTTTAGGGCCCTCAGTTTACCTCCAGCAGCAGCAGGGCTGGCTCAGTGTTTTGGGGGAACCTCTGTGTTTTATACTTTGGAGCTGTGCCCCACACTTGCTGATTCCTTGGCCACCTCTGGCACACGGAGCCACCACTGTAGGTAGTACATGGGCTTTCTGAACCCATGATTGAAGAGCATTTGGACCTATAACACCTTTTTTTCTTTATTCTCTTCTCTCCCAGCAAGAATGATTGAAGAGCATTTGGACCTATAACACATTTTTTTCTTTATTCTCTTCTCTCCCGGCAAGAATAATGTAGGGGTTTTTTTTAAAAAAAAAAGCCATCTAGGCCATGCTATCAAGGTCACTTGTTTGAAGCAGCGGGGTTGTACATTTACAGCCTAAAATTATAGGATCTTATCTGGTCAGTTTTTCATCCTGTTTGGCTAATGCTGCATAGTTACTGACCTTGGGGTGTTGCATCACCTCACTGTAGAGCTCTGCTGTAGCCCTGGAGTTAGCGCAGAGACACCCAATGCTTTGGTAGGAGCTGCCTGGATCTCTGGAGCAGAGGTCAGAAGGGATCCACTTAGTCGTGTGTCTTGTCAGGAACCGGGGGCTGCTAGGAGGGCAGGGGACTACTTGGCCTCTGCTCCTGCCCAGCTGCTTCATAGAAGTCCCCGTGAAGATCCTGCCAGGAAAGGGAACGTGGCCAAGTTTCTGGTGCTGGTAGGCTGCACCTCCTGGTATTACACATACAAGCCTGCACCATGGAGCATGCAGAGGTAGTGTCAATTTTTTAGCTTTCAAATAACTAATTTATTTCATAGTTATTCATGCTTTTTGGAGGAAAAGCGCGTCAGGGAGGTCACAAATAATCAATGAGTAATGGACTATGCTGTCTTAGGAGCTCATGGAGCAATTCCAGCAGTCAATTTATTAGTATGGAGCAGAGAAGCACTTTCTTGAATTAAAAAACATCATTCTTACAGCTGCCTCTCACCTCAGCCTGGAAATTGGTTTTCCCAGCTACTTGACCACCTGAGTTAACTCTGATGTGATCCAATTTGATGCACTATATCCAGTTGGTCTGCACAGTACTAATTTTAAATTTCTATTTATTCCATTTGCCTTTCAGGGCTGATGATAGACAGGCAGGAATGACTTCCAGAAATCCTGTGACGATTTCAGACTCCACAGTAAATGCTTTGAATGCAAATTCCACTGCAATTAGCCCATCCAACTTACATTTAATTTTCTCTCCATAGAAATATACATGTAACAGAGCATTGTTTCTTAGGGCAGTGATCCCAGATTCCAGCCCCAGACAGTACAGCTGACTACAAAGGAGTTGCTGTGGGGTTGGGTTGGCCTAGAGTGGGTCACAGTCCTCAAGAAAAGAGACGGTTTGCTTTAATACAATGATGGGCACAGCTCCAGAGGTCCAAGATGTGGTTCAGAGGAGCTTTGAGAACAGGAATTAGACAGGGATGAGCTCATCACCCTTCACTTCTTCAAACTCTTTGAGCATGCTTGGGCTGAAGGTGTCGCAAACCTCTTTATCCTCTGCTTCTGCTCTGTCTCGGGATGCCGTGAGAAAGCAAGCCTTTTACTGAAGGGCATTGTTGAAGTGAATAAAGAGGTGGAGGGAAAGCATAAAGATTGAGGCCTTTGGAATTTGGCTTGAAAATCGTGTTGAATGATCGCAGAGGATGGCAATGCTCTGTATCTTATTCAATCCACTTTGCCAAGCAGTCCTGCAGGTAGTATAAATAACCCTACACTAGTTCAGACATCCCATTTGCTCACAGCATGCCCCTTGCTTTCAGTAGGTGTTTGAATGTGCAAAAAGCGTGCAAAACCAGGCTCTGGATACCTGCGTGACTGACTTAGTGACTTTCCCCTTCCCCGTAAAACCTCCAACCCCAAACACCCAGATTTTCCTTGCTGTGCCCTGGGACATGCAAGTCCCTGTGAAGAGTTGTGACTGGGGAGAGAGGCAGGGCAGAGTCCAGAAGCTTCACAGGTGGTGGTGTTTGGGTTTCCCAGTCAGGGTCTCCTCTGACCTGAAGCTCTGCCCCATTGTGGGAATTAACAGAGCAGCTCAGATCCTCGCTTGGTACAAGCTAGAGTGATTTTGATGGGGCTACACAGCGTTGGGCCTTCTGAGGACCTGAGCTGGTCTTTTTTAAGAAGCAAGCGAGTTACTGTTCTCTCCTGTGTCAAAGTCATTGAGGACTTTTCTAAAAACAGCAGCAGATTCCTCTCAGCATGCGTTTGGCCTTTCAAGTTTGATGCTCTCAAGTGTGTGCTTCTGTCCTTGGGTTTTTTTACCCCTACAGGAATGCAATATGACACTACGTACTGTTTCTGGTTGTAGCGGTGTCCATAACCTTCCACTCTTATTCCCTGCTCTGAGCTTCTGTTTTGCTGTCACCTCTCTCTTTGCAGCATTCTGTGTGCTGCAGTGCAGTTGCATTACTGTAGCATTAATGTCTCTTGTGTAAATGAAAGACCTCATTGTCCAAGAAGCGTGGTGTTGGGGTGGGGAGGGGAGGAGTTGTTCATTTTCTTTTGTTGTCTGCACTCCATTTAGTTTTTTTTAATTCTGACCAATATAACATCTGCTAAAATGTCTTCCTTATCATTTGCTTGGTGATCACACAGCCTTCCCACCATTCATTGAGAGCTGGACCAGATCTCACAGAGTCTGAAAAGAGCTATGTGGTAAGGCCACTGTTTAAATCAGATGTGTAGTCCTAGACTCTCTTCACCCAGACAGTAACACCTCAGTAGAGATAAAAATGCCAGCACTATTTTTAGCAGCAAAGTAGGTACATATTTATCTATTTGCATATATTGTTTTGTTTGCAACAGAAAAAGGGAATTTAGCAATTAGAAAAACTGTCATAGCCAATGAGAAGTTGGGCTAATTGTGCTGCCAGTCCCTGGGTATAAGTTAAATGAAGCAAAATGCATGAATGGAGTGGCCCGCCTTGCATTCTTGAACTGACTTCATAGCATTTGTAATGGTCCCACCGCATAACTAATTTCAACCTCTTATGCTGCTGCTTTTAAAAATATATGTATGTGTATTCGTTACAAATCTTCAAACTAAATGCCAAATTCTTCTGTATCTTGCCTGTTTTTCCATGCTTACACCTGGATCCCTTCTGCACTCCACTACCTGGATATGTCCCTGGATCTACAACTTTTTTTTTTTACTGGACTTACGTGCTGCATCTGGAATGTCCCATCTCTTCTTGTCTATATTTTCCCCTCCCTCCCCCCTGTTGACTGTCCTTTGGGTGTTCTTGGATGTCAATGCTGCCTACCACGCAGGAAGCTGTTTGCAATGAGATCATAAACATTGCAGAAAAGTCTGTTCATTACTGCAGTACTATTTCTCAGCCTCTTGACTCTCGCCACAAGGTGACCTCTAATGACCATAAACCATCTCTCATCATTTCTCAGCAACCTCAAGCACAGCAGCAAGGAGCCAGCCCTGACAGAAGTCAAACACCACGAGACATGTAAGTCCTTTTGCCTCCCATCTCTTCCAGGGGCCTTGTCTCTGACTGGTGGTGAAGATGGGGAGGTGTGAAAGCTTCAGCGTTTCAAGAGTTAAATTAGAATTATGGGAAAGTGTCAGCTTTTCTTTAAAGAACAAAAATAGCCACATATCATCATAATGAGTAGTTTAAAACTGGGACCTTTGTGTCTGTATAGCACCTGAAACAATGACCTCATGATCCAGGACTGGGTCTCCTTTGGGCACTTGATTCATGCTGGTTGTGGAGACTATCTCAATGTCTTTGTGTCTTGAAGCTGGAGACAAATTAATATCCACTGGCTACACGTGGCTCATATGGCATAGGTCAGTTTGTACACCCCTGTACTTAGCTTCTCACAGTACAGTGAGCAGTCCCAACACCAATGCCACTTGGTGTGTTGTTGGCCAGTTTCGCAGAGGAATTGGTGGCTGAATGATCTGGGAGACCAAGGCTGAGATTTGCAAAGCTGCCTGGTGGGTTTAAACCTGGAGCTGCCATTAAACTTGGTGGGGCCTTTCACTGATGGTTTTGAGAATAGTAGCCTGCACTGTGTTGCTGTCCCCCCACAGTTGCTGGGGACTGAAGTTCCTTGGCAGTTGGCTCCTGAAAGGAGCCTTTGCTTTCCCCCGCCCCTTTATGCAGAAGGGAAAGTCTCACATCAGCTCTATTTTCACTCCCCACAGGCAGGGGATCCAAGCCTCCCCAAATTTTCCCAAAGATTGTTTCCGCTCCATAAGGTTGCTTTCTGATAAATACAGAGTGCCTCTGGTGCAAGTGGTGTATCTCAGGGCAGGATTCAACCTTAGATTTTGTTTGCACTGTACCTCCTCAGCCGTAATTTATCCAGCAATATTAGTGCAGTAGAGTAGGCTGTATCTTTTTATGAAGCCCTTCACTCTGCCATTTGGCCATTCATGGCCCTGCCTATGTGCCTTGGCAGGGGAACAGATGTCTCATTTAGCTCAGGAATGAGTGTATTCAGGTTTTGGCTTGCATTCAGTACATATGCTCTCTAGGTGCTACACGTTAGGAAGACTCCAGTTGTTATAGTCTATGGAGACAACTACATAGAATTGTAGAATCATAGAATCAT